CTTCTCAAGCAGGACAAGACCTACTGGCTGTGCGGCATGTCCGGCGGGCTGGGACTCAGTTTGTGCGACTGGCTCATTGAAAATGGGGCCAAGTACCTGGCGCTCACAAGCAGGAATCCCCAAGTCGTGGACGCGTGGCTGGCAGCGCACAAGAAGAATGGTGTCACGATACGGCTGCTTCCTTGGTAAGTCGGGTCCAAACCGTGTGCCGGTTCTGTCGAGTGCACTATTGCTCACGAGTTGGATTATAGCAACGTCACGGACGAGGCTGCTCTTCGCGCCGTCCATGAGCGAATCGTGGAGGAAATGCCTCCTGTCGCCGGTGCTGTCAACGGCGCCATGGTCCTGCGTGATGTGTCTGTCCGAAACATGTCCCTCGAGGACGTGCAGACTGTGATCCGCCCCAAGATCCTGGGAAGTATCCACTTGGACCGCATCTTCCACGACGTGGACCTGGACTTTTTCATTCTCGTTTCCTCCATCAGTGGCGTCATTGGGACCGTGGGCCAGGCCAACTACGCCGCCGCCAACGCGGGCGTCTGCAGCCTGTCCGCGCAGCGCAGGAACCGTGGCCTCCACTCGTCCTGCATCAACGTTGGCATGATCAACGGCGTGGGGTACATCACGCAGTCCGAACGGAACCTCGACGAGGCCATGGAGCGGCTGGCGGTGGTGCACTTGTCGGAGAGCGACTTTCGGCACAGTTTCGCCGAGGCCATCGAGGCAGGCCAGCCAGACTCCCCCCACGGACCCGAGTTCACGCTGGGACTGCGAGAGATCCCCCAGGACGCCGCCAACATGCCAAAGTGGGCTCCCGATCCCAAGTTCTCTCACTTTATTGTACGAAGGGCCGCCGAGGGTGCAGAGCGGTCGGAGCACAGCAGGGAGACGCCCCTCCCAGAACAGCTGCGGGCTTGCAGGAGCCCGGAACACGTCCTCGCCGTCGTCAAGCGCAAGTCATCCCCCTCTTCTTCACGATGCGCAATATTCTCCAAGAAACTTGCTGACTCGCAACAGATGCATTGTGTGCCCAACTGCGCCGGGTACTGCAGCAGTCGACCCCCAACGACGAGCTTCTCGAGATGGACAGCACGTCGCTGGGACTCGACTCGCTCATCTCTGTCGACATTCGCTCCTGGTTCCTCAAGAGCTTCCAGGTCAACATTCCCGTGCTCAAGATCATGGGCAACAATGTCCAGATGTTGAGCCTGGCCGAGCTTGCGGCCAAGAACATCCCGGCACCCCTGACTCCGGATGTCCATGGCCAAGAGACAACCGCGTCGGCCCCGAGCTCCGTGAATGATAGCAGCGTTGGCCCGTCTACAGAGACCGGCAACACGACGCCCACTTCGACGCCGCATTCGGAGCGGACTGCATCGGATAGTGCACACGGCAAATCAGAGGGTAAGGACTAGCTAGAGTCGAGCAGATCAATATATAGCACCAAGTCTAGAGCCCATCTTTCTTCTGTATTTCACAAGGTCTTTCTTTTAAAGGATGAAATAGTCTTGCGTGCCGAATTCTGTGTAATCCCCATAATCTGGTCTTTCATTCACAGCTGCGTTTGCAGTTTGCAGGTGTCACTATTCCACTCCCAGATGCGAATCCAAGGGGCTCACAGATTGACCTCAAGTTGATCAATGCAAGGTGTAATTCAAGCGCTAGCTACCTAGCCACAGAGTTTCCCGCGTGGCCGACAAGGATCACCGCTCCCTAGGTCTCGTTGCTCGGAAGAGCATGCTCCTCCCCACAACCCACACGGTTACATCCTCAAAGTTCTCGCGTAAGCCGCGACAAAGAATCTCCTCCGTGTCGTCCCAGTTGTCAAATATACCCAAACGATTATGAGTGTTCATCAGGATACCTGCCAGCCAGTTCATGGGTCTACTGCGACCAAGGACCGTCGCTCCGGCCAGGACACCATCCGGGGCCATCTGGCGTCTGGCGACGGCAAAGACCCTGTTCTTGTGCTCGAGGGGGCCCGGGATGCAGTGGATGAGATAGAACATGGTGATGGAGTCGAACTTGTCCGATGGCGCGAAGGGCAGCGGCTCCATGGCATCGGCCACGACTGTGTCCACCTTGATGCTTTGCGTGGCCGCGGCCGCGGAGATCCTCGTCTTCGCGGCGGCGAGGGACGAGGGGTTGAGGTCGACGAGGGTGATTTGTTTGCACCTGGAACCAGGCCTGCCGAGCGCCTTGGCGGGAAAGTAGCCTGTTCCCACCCCAATCTCCAGGTGTTTGGCCTGGAGAGTGCTCTCAAAAAGCGGCAGCAAATCAGCCGCTGTGGAGCATTTCCACGCGAACGTGTTGGTCACATACAGCACGAGCCAGTCGTAGAGATAGAGGACCCATGGCGTGTACGCGGCAGCGCCCGCGTTGTCCCTTGGTGGGGGCATGGTGGCCAGGTTTCCTGGTAACTTGGAGGTTTTCGCTCTCAAGAGGTCGTGGGCAAGAACAGATTTGCAAACTCCCAGCGTCCACGCGGGTCGAGCAGCTGTGTCCCTCACTCACATTGCTGGAGCCAGGGGAGGGGGGTTGTTGTTGGGGGGCGGTTGTTTGGCTATTCAAACGGGAGACAGACAGCCGGCCGGACGCCGGCCCCGCATGCATGCACGCCGGGATCGGTTACCCTAAACGGAATGAGGTACAAGCACATGGCCATCGGCACTCGCTCTATCGTGGGCAGTCTCCGTAGCATGCCTCCAGCCAGTTCAGTTTCCCCATTATGTCGTCGGGCCGGTGCCATTTACGCCTTGGTGCGCCTCATAGCTCTTGACACGACGGCAGGTTGGGGCCACCGTGATACCACAGCGCGCGCATCTGTACGACTCGCTTGGCAAACAACGGTCGCCCAGCACTCGCAGCAGCAGATACCATGCCTACCGACGCCACGCAAACCGCCATCATCCAGTCCACCGTCGGGCACCTAGAGGCCTCGGGTCTGCCCTTGACGATTTCGACAGAGGTGCCTGTGCCGAAGCTGGTCACGCCGTGGGACGTCCTCGTCCGCGTGTTGGCGGTGGCGGGGAACCCGACCGACTTTAAAATGCCCACCCACTTCTTCATGGAGAACAGGGTGGTTGGGTGCGACTTTTGCGGCACCGTGGAGAAGGCCGGTGCGTCTGCTAAATGGAAGGTCGGCTTGAGGGTGTGCGGTGCGGACTTTCCCTACCACATCACGCAAGAGAATCCCCAGAACGGCGCTTTTGCGCAGTGGATTGCCATCGACTCACGGCACCTGCTCCAGGTCCCCGAAACCTGGACCGACCTGCAGGGCGCTGCCCTTGGCGCCCTGGGATGGGGTACCGCGGCCATGGCCTTTGGGGACCCCGACGCTCTGGATCTCATCGGCCGCCCTTCCAAGCCCATCCAGGGCGAAACGATGGTCCCCGTGTTGGTGTACGGAGGGGGGGCGGCCACGGGGCTTGTGGCGATACAGCTCCTCAAAGCGTGAGAACACCGGCTACTGTCTTCGTGTAGCCCAGTCTGAGCTGACTGTCTAGATCGGGATACGCGCCTGTGGCGGTATGCTCGGCCGCGTCGTCAGAGCGCGTCATGGGTCATGGTGCAATTGGGACTGCAGACTACTCTGCCCCGGACACTGTGGAGCAGATCAGGTCCATATGCGGCAGCATTCCCATCAGACACGCCCTGGACTGCATCACAGACGACATCTCGGCGGCGACGTGCTTCGCCGCCATCGGTAGAACGGGCGGCAGGTATGCGTGTCTCGAAGAGTTCTCCCCCAGCTGGGTCACCCGAAGGGCCGTCCGGGTCAAGGTTGTCATGGGATTCGAAATGCTGGGCTACGACGTCGACTTTGGCCCAGTTTCGTACGCGCGCCCCGCGAACCCGGCGCTGCAAGCCATCGGGCGACTGTGGGCAGACGAGGTACAGGCCCTGCTGAACCAGGGACGCTTGGCAACCCAGCCCTTGGAAGAGATCAAGGGCGGGTTCGAGGGTCTCCTCCGGGTCGTGCGCATGCTACAGAGCGGGGAGAAGGCAGGCAAGAAGCTCGTAGTAAGGATTACAGAATAGCAAAAGGATGCGCACGCATGCCCTCGACGAGTCAATACCACAGAGGCCTCTTGACACGCAGTTTGGGCTGATGAATTTGCTTGTATCTAAGACTGTCCATCTCCTTCCTCACTATTCTTGGTCTACTCTTCTCCACCGGTTCCAACCTTGACCAGTTGACTTTTGGCTGCAATCTGGGCTGCGAGATCAGCCAGTGGCATAGCACTGAGAATGTCAAAGACCGAAACCTCGCTCTGCATGTTCTTGAGCGCACGGTTGCGGATCTCGACGGCCTGCAGCGAGTCCACTACAGGGGCCAGTTAGCCATGTTCATTCGCATTCGATACTGTACATGTACGCAGGGCAGATGATTGCACTTACCACCGTAGTCGTAGAGAGGCTTCTGCGCATCGACATCTTCCACAGAGATGCCCATGGCCACGGCGACCAGCTCCTTGATGCTCCCCTCCACTGCCGCGGCTGCCTCTGCCACACTCGTGGCACTGGCCAGCCGAAAGCGGACATCCTCCTTGGCCTCGCCATTCCCAGCCTGGTTGTCGACGTTGACCACGCGGAGTGCAAACTTCTTGTCCCCCGAGTAGCCCCCCGTGCTCTCATTGTGCTCAATGCGGTCCCCAAGGCCCAGGATCACCTGGGCCGGCGCCCTTTGGCCGTCTGTCGCGGAACCCCGCATAATGGCCCGCATCACAGCGCCGAGCTCGTGAAGGCTCGTTTGCAGCCCGCGCCAGCCGTGCTGGTATCTGGACAAATAGCTAGAGAGCTCGCCAAAGCCACCCGATCCGGTAAAGTGCGACGAGTCGGAGACCAAGCCAACGTCGATGCTGGTCGCGTCGATATCGAGGTGGTCACGCGCGTGATGGGCCAAGGCGTCCTCAAACGTGTTCCCGGAAGCGTAGTTAGCCTGCGCCGTGTTGCCGATGACGCCGGTAATCGAGGACAGCAGGATGTAAAAGGGCTTATCGCCCGGCCAGAGGTTGGCGAGAAGATTGCGCGACCCTTTGGTCTTTGGCTGGATAGCACGACGCCACTGCTCAAAGGACATGTTCTCAAATATAGCATCTTCGAGCACCATGGCCAGCTGGACCACTCCTGCCAGTCTCTTGCCGCTGCGCTTGAGGGTGTCGAACACGGCGGCGACGTTGGCTGCGTCGTTAATGTCGCACTGGAGCACTTGGACCCGTACAGAACGCTCCGCAAACCTCTGCAGGGCCTGCGGGTTCTTTGCCGCGCCCGAGCGGGAGAGGAAGACCAGGTGTTTGGCGCCGCATTCCACCATCCATTCGGCAATGTCTAAGCCGAGGGCACCCAGCCCCCCCGCCAGAACATATAGAGCCTCGTCGTCGAGCTTCAGCTCCTCTGGCGGAGGGCCAGACATGAGCACCGGCATGGTGTCATCGAGCGACAAGACCACCTGCTCGCTCGAGATGCTCCTCATGGCGGCCGGAAGCTTGGTCACGGGCAGCACAGTCAGCGGCACAGGAACCAGGAGGAGCAAGTCCGCAAAGGCCCGCTCAAAGAGCCCAGGGACGAGGTCTGGTCGGCCCTGGATGAGTGCGGCTATGTCGACGCAGGTGAGGGCTACGTTTGATTTGGAGGCCGGCACGCCCCCCGAGAACCCCTGGCCATCCATCATGAGAAATTGACCAAAGTCATTCAAGACGGACATTGCCCCTGCGATATGCGAGCCCCTCTGTTGACTCACGACGACGTCGACGCCACGACCCCCGGTGGCCTCTCGGACAAGCGGCACGAAGCTGTCCAAAGCCGAATCGAATATGCGGTCTTTGGCGATGCCGTACCGATCAGCCAGGATGTCTCGCTCTGCCCTGTCGTGTACGAGAGCAAAGACTTCGGCACCCATGTGCGTGGCCACCTGAACCAGGGCCTGTCCGACCGCACTCGCCGCCCTGTCCAGCAACAGTGTCTGGCCAGGGCCAAGACGGGCCTTGTCAACAAGTGCGTACTGCGCAGTGATCAATGGCTCTACGAGGGCCACGGCCTCTTCCGGCCGGTAGCCCTCCGGCAGAGATGCCACCAGGGCCTCTGCCTGGCGAACATGTGTCCGTGGAGGGATATGGCAAAAGACAATCACCCGCTGGCCGATCTCGAATGACTTGACCGAGTCGGACAGGCGGGACACGACACCGACGGCATGGTGGAGAGACGCCATTGTCCGGCTCTGTCCAAGTCCAGCATACTCCACCTTGACTTCCACCTGACCAGAGGCGAGGTCTGCATCCGCCTCTTGTTCCGGAATCCAGACGTGGCTTTTGTCCATGTCGCCCAAATCCTTCGCCCAGAGTGCTCTCCCAGTGGCACCCAGAGTAGACCAGATGGGTTGGGCGGTATCGTTGGCCAGTGCAAGCTCGTTGTCAAGGACAGCATTTGACTTTGCACGGGCAATGAACACGACGCCATGGCGCTCAGCGTACTCCGTCTCCGCGTCTTCGGCCAGACTCGCTTGCCAGACCTCCACAATAAGATCCGTGTATCGAGCGTCGGACATGTCGGCGAGGGCGGAGAGGTCGAGGGACGGTAGTTGGGTGGCAGGGTACTCGTTCCGCAAGACTCGGAACAGTCCTTGGCTCGTGGCGAATTCCACACCATTCGCCCAACTCTCCAGGACGCCGCCATGCGTCACCCAGAGGACGTGACCAGCCGCAGAGATGAGCGCTTTGAATGCGCAGAACTGGTCTTCGTCCCAGGCGTACACGAGTGGACGTTCGATCTCGAGGAGGGACAGTACCGACTTGCCAGCGACAGAGGCTACACCGTCGGAATCCAGACGGCACTGTTCAACGCACATACCAAGGCCTGCAAGCTTCTCTGAAACAGCGGCGACGAGCATCTTCACAGCGTCCGACATTGACGCGGGCAAGAGAAGCACCACGGACTCTGGAAGCTCCGGTAAGGTGGCGAGATGTCTGTCCCTCGCTGAGGTCAGGATGTAGGTCCTCTCCTCAGCCAGTGTGGCCACACACGAGCCGGGCACGTCCAAGCTCTCGTCCAGCTGGCCATCCTGTGTGACGAGTGCCACTGGTGCCAGCTTCGCGAACACAGCAGCATTGCTGGCCGCGTCGGGGACGCACAAGCCGATGATGACGTCGAGTGCGTCGGGGGTCAGTGTCTGCAGCAGTTCGCTCTCTGGCACCCATTTGTAGATGATGGTCATGTTCTCGGCACCTTCACCGAGCAGGGCCCGCATCGTGTGCAGCTGCGTCTCGGACGTGGCCAGAGCGACAATCCTCCTGGGCGGATATGCCCGGTTTTTGAGGTACAGGAGAATATCCGTGTGGCATTGGGCCTCGTTGAACAATGCGATGAGTGCCACGCTGTCCGATCTCTTGAGCAACGCCGCATCAAAAACAGCGTCGAGCAAGCGGGTGGCCTTGCCGGAAGACGAGGCGAGGCTCGCCAGACCCCCATTGCTCGTCACAAAGGACAGATCCGGGATCCAGGCAATCTCGGCGCATTTCGCGCCTGCTTCACCAGAGGCTGATGCGGCCTTGGCGGTCTCCCGGCTCATAGGGGACGTAACCTGACGCAGGGCAAAGTTTCTGATCACGATCCTTGGCCTTTGCCAGTCCTGGTCTGACACAACCAGCTCGGTCGTCATCTGGTGGCCATGGCGAGAGACCAAGCGCCCGTAGCCCGAGTACAGCGCTCCCGGTCTTTGTGGCTGGTCGCGGGCAATGTACAGGTCTTGGATGGCGTACGGCACTGCAGAATGCTGGGGGCGGCCGGCGTCGAGTGACGCGATGACCAGGTGGAAGATGGAGTCCAGAGTCGCTGGATGGATGACATGAGGGGACTCGTGGTGGCTCGGCATGATCGATCTTGTGTCCGGCACGGATACGGTACCGTAGGAGGCTTGCTGAGATGGTATCGCCGCAAGAGACACGACATTGCGGAACGCCGGGCCGTATTGCATGCCGACAGCCTCCAGCTCGTCGTAGAACTCGGTGATGTCGAGAGACGACGAGTTTGGGTCAGCAAGTAGAGTCTGGTGTAGAGCCACGTGTCTGTGCCATGAGGCATCCTTCCGGCCCTCCTCCACCTCGCTCGATCCCTTCTCGTACACGACAGCAATGGTCCCCGAGCAGTGCTTTGCCCAGGAAGACGCTTTGGACATGGAGTAGATATTGAAGAGCCAACAGTCGGGCTGGGTGCTGTGGAGGTGCAAGCTGATGCGTGTCTCCACGGGGCTTGCGTCGTCCAGAGAGATCACCAGTCCACGCTCAAACAGCACATCCGTCATCCGCAAGCCATCCACCGTCCTCGAAGAATCAGCGGTGCGCAGGGCGGCCTCCAACGCCATGGCGAGCATGCCGGCCCCAGGGTACAGCGTCGTCCCAGTGATCACATGGTCCTCTATCCATGGGTTCTCGGTGATGCGCAGGTAGTTCCCCCACCGTGGCTCGTGGGCACTGCATGAATATTCTGCCACGCCGAGGAGCTCGTGCCGGGCCTCGCGCGGGAAGCGATAGGCGCGTGACGAGTACGACTCATGCCAGAAGCTGCGTGCGTGGTTCCAGGGATAGGCTGGCAGGTCACAGACCACCTGGGGAGCATCCGAGGGCTGGTGCTGGTTGTTGACCACGGCCAAGTCCACCTTGGCGCCCACCGCCCAGAGCCTCCCAGCGGCTTCCAGGGATGTCTCCATGGCGTCCTTGCCGCGAAGAAGCAGGGACACGTAGGGTGCAGACGCAGCGACCGTGTTGTTGGTCGCGGTGATGATCTGACGCACCGGTCCTTGCAGGGCGGCGTGGGGCCCAACCTCGAGGAAGCCTGCCCATGGCACCGAGCGGGTGGCGCCAGGGGCCAGCTTCTTGTCCATGAGCAACGCGGAGAGCGCCTGTGAGAACTGTACGGGACTCTGCATATTGTCCACCCAGTACTGGGCGTCCAGTTTCTCGGCAGAGCTGATCACGGACCCTGTGAGGGAAGAATACATGACTGGGCGGCGACCGCTGTCGGTTTCCTCATCAGGCTGCTTGGGTGCGATGCTGCCGATCATGGCGAGATAGTCTGATGAGACCTCGCGCATGTGAGGAGAGTGGTACGCGATGGTGACCTTGAGCTTGCGGGCGAACTTGCCGTCGCCGGAAATCTTGGTTTCCAGGTCGTGGATGGCGTCGGCATCGCCCGAGAGCGTCACGCTGGAGGGACTGTTGACGCAGGCCACCACGACAGATCCCGGGGCCCACGTGTCAACGTATGCCTGTGCGTCGCTCTGAGAAAGGCCTACGGCCATCATGGCCCCTTGCTTGCGGACGCCAGCAGAGCTGATGCCTCGCACGTAGGCGAGCTTGATGGCATCTTGGTGGGTGATCAATGACGCCGCGTAGGCGGCCGCAATCTCGCCGCTAGAGTGTCCAAGGGTGGCCGCTGGCACAATCTTCCACGCGCGAACAAGGTCGACCAGCGCTATCTGGATGATGGTGCAGAGTGGCTGGCTGTATTCCGGGAGGTTGATGTTGGGCGTCTGGCTCAACTCCTCGCGCACGTTCCACTTGCAGCCCAGCGCCTCGAGGTAGGATTGCGAAGCCTGTATACTTTGGTGGAACGTAGGATATTCGAAGAGTTCCTGCGCCATGCCCGACCACTGGGCGCCTTGACCGGTGAATATCATGACAATGTTGCCGCCGTGTCTCTGTGCTCTGGTGGCTGCCGGCAGCCCCCGCGATAGCCTCATGGAGAGCTCCGGCATCGAAGCAGCAAGGGCAAATGTCCTGTGCCCCATGTGAGAGCGGCGCTGTGCAAGGGTGTAGGCAATATCGTCGAAGGTACGTCCATGGTGCTTCTCGTCCAAATCCCCCCCTTGCAGCCACGCGGCAAACCTTTCCGTCACCCGTGCAGTTCCAGCCTGGTCTTTGCTACTAAATACAAATAGCTTCTTGGATGCTCCAAGGTCAGGCTCGCTTGGTTGCGCAGATGAGATTCCAGAATCCGAGCCGAATATATGTACGTCCACATTGTGCTTGCCCGCTAGACATCTTTCTCGAAGGTAGTGATAGGCATCGTCCAGAATAACGTGCGCGTTTGCACCGCCGAACCCAAAGGAGTTGACGCTTATCCGACGCAGTCCTTGGCCCGGCCACGCGACAACATCCTGCGGGAGGCTGAGGTGCCAGTCGTCCAGCTTCAACTGTGGGTTGACTCGCTCCACGCCGTGCGTGGGAACCAGCATGCCCTTCTCCAGGAGCAGGATAGACTTGAAAATGCCGGCCAGTCCCGCGCAGCCCTCCGTATGTCCCACAGTGGGCTTGATACTGCCAATGGGAAGAGGAGGCTGTCCAGCCGCACGCCTCGCCGCACCGAGTGTCTGGGCAATGGCGGCTAGCTCGAGGGGATCGCCTACAGGCGTACCCGTGCCGTGGCATTCAAAGTATCCTGTCTCCGAAAGGCCCAGCCCTGCATCCTCGTAGGTCTGGCGGATGAGCTCCATTTGTGACCAAGAGCTTGGCTGCGTAACACTGGGAGTCTTGCCATCGGCGTTCACGCCCGATCCCCTGATGACGGCGCGAATCGTGTCGCCGTCACGAATGGCATCCGACAGACGTTTGATGACCATAGAACCGATACCGTCGCCACGTCCATAGCCGTTGGCACGCTCATCAAACGTGTGAGAGATGCCGTCGGGGCTGAGCATGTGCATAGCAGTCAGCTGGTGAGAAGTATTGGGGTTGATCATGAGGTTAACTCCGGCGACGAGAGACTATACGAATCAACAAGTCAGTGATCCGGCTTACTTGCTTCTCGCCTCAAGGTACCACTCTCTGCTCACTCACCATGTTGGTTTCTTTCAGCCTGAGGGACTGACACGCGAGGTGGAGGGCGTATAGCGAGGAGCTGCAAGCGGTGTCGAGCGTTAAGCTGGGGCCTTTGAGGCCGAAGAACCACGACACGCGATTCGCTGTCATGGCTTCACTCAGTCCGGTCGCTGCTGGGTGTCCTACGTCGTAGATGTCGTGCAGGGAAATCATCTCATAATCGTTTGTCATACATCCGACGTAACAGCCTGTGCGGCTATTCATCAAATCCTCGACGGGGATGCCAGCTGAAGAGTCGCTATTAGCCCGCTCACTCTCCCTTGGCCTGCTTATAGGACGAACCGTTCTCAATGCTTTCGTAGCACACTTCCAGTAACATCCTCTTCATCGGGTCCATGGAAGCAGCTTCCTTGGCTGTCACGGAGAAAAAGGGGGCGTCAAAGTGGCTGATGTCTTGGTCCAAAAAGTACCCATGCTGGGGGCCGATTCCGCCTTTGCGGTCGGGATCCGGATGATGCCACACATCGCTGTTCCACCTGTCTTTGGGCACGCGACCATGGCAGGTCTTGACCTTGCTGATCGCCTCCCACAGTGAGCCCGACGATGACACTCCGCCGGCAAAGCGAAATCCCACTCCAACGATGGCGATAGGCTCCTGCTTGTCTAGACCCGGTAGTGCCATGGCAGAAGGTAAGTGGACTCTGGAAAGTAATAGAATCGGCCTCGTAGAAGGAGTGTGGGAAAATCGTAAACAAGGTGTCGACAAGTCTACCAGCGACGGCTTACCATGTCGAAGCGCACAATGGATACATTTCTGTCTCGATCGTCAAAGTCCTGCTTTTAGGGCGGCGGCATGCCGGAATGGGCAATGTGCATGTAATTAGGTCAGTCGGTGCGCCTCGCTGCTTTGGCTTTCCTCAATCAGCAACGCAATAGGACTCGGGAGGAACCGATTCTGCACGCGGCCCGTGGTAGATTCGGCAACCCTCCACTTATCTGGCGATCCACTTGAATCAGGGTCCAAGACTTCAAAAGCCAAAAGCCAATCCGTATAGATAGGCCAGTCCACGGATATTTGGATCCCGAAAGTCCCGGTTGGTTGGCACTTGATACATGCTTGGCGGACAAGATGCGAATCCTATGTCTCCACGGGCTTGGTAGCTCTGGTGCCATTTTCGAAAAGCAAATGGCCAATTTGCGACGAGAGCTCGACCCGAGCTTTGAGCTCCTCTTCGTAGACGGGCCATTCGCGTCGGAAAGAGGACCAGGTACGTAGACTCTGTGGGTTACCTCGTGTATACTCCCACGTTGACGCTTTGGCATACAGGCGTGTCGAGATACCATCCCGGTCCATACTGTTCTCACACGCAGGGCTATTCTCCCGCCGACATGGCGCAAGCGGTTGCTCATCTGGAGGAAACTCTCCAATTCCAAGGCCCCATCGACGGCATCTTCGGGTTCAGTCAGGGCTCAGCCTTGACACTGGCATACTTGTATCAGCAGCAAGTGGCTGGCGAGCTCGTGCCCGTCAAGTTTGCCTGTCTCTTTTCAGCCGCGATGCCATGTAGCCCTGACCACAGTCTGGGGGCCAGCGTCATTTCGAATTTGCGCGCCAAAGAATACGACATTTCGGATCCAACAGGTCGCCACGCAGAATCGCTCACGAGACAGGAACAAGAGCTCGTAGACATTCTACAGCGGACAATTGTCCACGCTACCTCCCAAGACTTCAAGTTTCCCTGGACGAACCTGGACATGTACCGCCGGGAAGAGCTGCACGCGATTCCTCGAATTATGTACCCGTCCGTCCAGGCACAGAAGATCCAGACTCCGACTGTTCACGTGTGGGGCCGGAATGACTTTGACTTTTTGATCCAAATGGCTGAGCTGTCGCGCAGCACTTGTGATGATTCCATGTCAAGGACAGTTGTGCACAGTGGGCTGCACGACCTGCCAAAGAGACAGACCGAAATCAAGGCTGTACTTCGGAGTATCGACTGGGCTATGGCGCAGGCATTTTTCTAGGCAGACGTGTTCCAAGGGTCTCCTAGTTCTAGAGTCATAGACGTTATAGATCCAGACTTGGTTCCTTTGGCTCAACATGGCCCTGGCGGCGTCGCGCAAGAACCTAGCACAAGAGGAGTTTCGTAAAGTCGACTGCAGCTAGTCAGGGGCAAACGATCGTGGGAGAATCATTTGCGGCCCGGACGAGTTTGGGCAAATCTGGCACAGGGATTCCTAGTTTGGCAAAACGCCGAGAAGATGGTCAAGATTGGCGCAGGGTCTTCCAAAAGAGCAAAAGGCCCTTCACATAGTGCCCAGCAACATCACAATTTGTGCCAATTGTTTTCGTTTTCATCCACGATCTCAATCCACTCGCTGATATACCGTCCTAAGAACGATTAATCTAACCATGAGAGCTGCACGAGTTCGGTCAACGTCCCCAGGGGGGAAACGGTACGGCTTCCCTGGACACGTGGCACCGTCATCCGCCATTGAGATACACGACAATGTCCCCAAACCACGTGTCTCCAAGCCCGGCGAGATCTTGGTCCAAGTGAAGGCCTCCACCGTCTACAAGGACAATCTCGAGTGGAATGAACTGTACCCCCCGAACCATGCCACGTTGGGAAACGATTTCTCCGGCATCGTCGTCGCCGTGCACGACAATGAGCCAGAGTTCCGTCCTGGGGACCACGTCTTTGGCATGACACATGCGAATCGCGGGGGCACTTGGGCCGAGTACGCCATCGTCATGACGGAAGAGGCCGTCAAGAAGCCGGACAATCTGTCGTGGGAGGAGGCGGCCGCAATTCCTGGGAGCGCCCTCACGGCTGATCAAGCCTTGTTCAAGCATATCGGGCTCGAGACAGCTGCCACAAAGCACGGAAAGCGGAGAGTTCTGATTACCGGCGCGGGCGGCGGCATTGGCACGTTTCTTGTCCAATTTGCCGCCTTAGCTGGACACTACGTCGTGGCCGCGTCTAGCTCAAAGGAGCGTGACGAGTCGTTTCTGCGCTCTATTGGCGCCCAAGAGGTGGTGGAGTACGGGGAACTGTCCACTGTGGACAAGGTCGACGTCGTGGTTGATTCTGTTGGGTCCGATGTGCTTGAGGACTGCTGGAGTGTGGCGAAGCCAGAGGGCAGCACCATATTGTCTTTTGACGCCTGCAGCTGGGGGTACAGGGAGAAGCACGCAGAGCTCGGCCTCAGCAACGGCAAGGAAGGCACTCGGGCACTTTACATGATTGCCGAGCCCTCGAGGGAGAGCATGGCGCGCATCACGGAACATTTGAAGCAGGGGAACATCAAAGGGCGTGTTTCCAAGACGGTGTCGTTGAGTGACGTCCGGAAAGCATATGAGTCCGCGCATTCTCGAGGTTTGGGGCGTGGGAAGATTGTGGTGCGCATCTAACGTTAATTGGTACATTGTCCCAGTCTCGATGACGAGCATGTCTTCGCCGTTGATTTTAATTCAACTCTCGCTTTGATGAGCTTAAATCAGTGTTTCTGATGAAGGGAGGAGATGAAGAGAGGAAAGTTATAGCTAGGCTGCCGTTCTCACCGAGGCAGCATTGGGCATGATTTTCCCATCACTACCGTATATCTGCGAAAAACCCATAACTGATGAATGGAGTCATGACGGCGAGACGGTTCATGACAGGATCAACATTGTAGCGTGCCCTCCCAGTCAGCTTCAGTCCCTTTGGCCACTCCCATACGCCGGCTCAGCGCTACCCAGGCACTACAGCACAACAGTCGGCGGAAGGCTCCGGGGTCAGCTTCCTCGCCCCAAGCAGTGCCCATGTCCTCCTGGATCGTCGCCCAATCCACAAAGCCGAGCTCTTCCACTGCCTTCTCTGATAGCAGCATGGTCAGCTTTTGATGAAGCGGCCCGCCCACTTTCCACCGCGTCGGCGCCAAGAACGGATTCTTCTTTCGCTGGTACAACTCGTCGGTGATAAAGGGGCGCATTGCCTGGCGGAGGATCCATTTCTCATCGAGACTCTGCAGAGCCACACTAGACTTAGTCCAGATGGGACCCAGGTCCGCAGCGGCGCTTGCCGCGTCGTCCGAGTAGCGCAGCTTGACACTAGGAGGCAAGCGGTTGACATACTCGGCTAGGTGGTGGTCCAGGAAGGGCGTGCGTGCTTCCACACTGTGTGCCATCTCTGTTCGATCGCCGAGGCAAGACAGTAGAATGTTAGGCAGCGAGCTCTTGTTCCACATGTACATGGCCGTGTGCAATGGGTGCCATCGCAGCTTCATCTTCGCCTGGACGTTGGTCGCGTGCGAACCCAGAACTGTCCTACGGCAGTCGTCGTTGCCTTGCTTGTCTCGGAGCCACGGGTGGAATACCCTGCTTGCAGGATGCCATGCTAACAAATTGTCGCTCATGTCCACTGCGCCCACGCCGGCAATGGAGGCAATGGATGGCCTCTCAACATACACTGTTGCGCCACCTCTTTGCCAGATTTCCTTCATCTCCCTCTGCGCCGACTTGAATAACTTTTGTCGAAGCTGGCCTTCTTGGGATAGATGGTAATGTGCCATGGCTTCATCAGCTTCGCGCAGGAATTCACTGGCAAAGTATGGATAGCCAGCGAAATGCTCGTCAGCGCCTTCACCGGTTAGGACGACCTTGATGCCGTGCTCGCGGGGAAGGGTGGAGAGTGCAAATTTAGCCACGAAATTGAGGTCGAAATGATGATGCTCGCAGTGGAATACAGCCTCTTCGAAATCCTCTGCTAAATTGTTCTCTGTGACGCTCTTCTTGACCATGTCGACTCCGAGCCACTCGACGGTACGTTGAGCAATATCTGTCGGCAGTCAGCCTTTGTGCTGATACACTCTCAGGGGTAGCAATTCCATGTGCGCGCAATGTTAAAGACATACCGGATTCATCATAGCCGGAAGACTTAGGGAATGCTACACTGAAGCAGGTGACTCGGGAAGTCTGTTCGTTTCCCACCTTGACCTTGTCCTTGCGCGCAAGTTGCGTGACTATACCGGCAATGGCGGAGGAGTCAATTCCTCCGGACAAGAAGATGCCAATGGGCACGTCAGCACGTAGCCGAAGACGAACAGACTCGACCAGTCTTTCGCGAACACCGAATACCATTTCGTCGACGGTGCGAGTATCGACTTTGCGCTATTGGCAGGGGGAGATCAATTAGTCGCGCTCCTTTCGAAAAGCCCAAAATGAAGTGAACCTGCCTTGTCTTCATATTCAGCGTCCCAATACTTGATCTGCTGCACGCCCCCCTCTTCGGTAATGTCAAGATAGTGACCAGGCAAGACCTTGCGAACATGACGGAACAGAGTTCGGTCATCAAACATCCATGCAGCGCTCGCAATGGCTCGGACGTCCCAGCGCGGTTTCCAGCCCAGCGGCAAGAATGCCTTGGCTTCCGAGGCAACGAGTAGCCTCGACCCAACCTTCGTATATACCAAGGGCTTGATGCCAAAACGGTCGCGCGCGCAGATCACACGCCGACCGCCTTCCCGGCTGTCGTAGAGGATGAATGTGAATTCACCACGCAGATACGTGAAGAACTCGGGCGCACCGTGGATCTTGTAGAGTGCTAACACAAGCTCGCTATCACTGTCGCTTTGGAAAGCATAGCCATAGTTCGCTTCGCACTCGGCGCGAAGGAGGTCGTAGTCATAAATCTCGCCATTCACCACGGCATGAATTTCCTCACCGTTACAGTGGAGAGGTTGGCGACCCGCAGAGGATAGATCGTTGATGGACAGTCGGCAGTGAGCCAGCCCGACTTGCTCATTCTCGCTGATCCATATCCCCGACTCGTCCGGTCCACGGTGGGCTATGGCTTCGATTGAGCCTTTGAGCTCTGCCTCCAATTTCTCTAATGTTCCGCCATTGAGCTGGGGTTCAAGGATTGCGTTTTCGGAAAACGATGTGTTCGTGTGGTTGTTGGTGCTTGCTCCGCCGAGCAAGATACATGCAGTAATGCCGCACATGTTTTCAATCGAAATGACAGACTGAGTCCTTCAGAGTGCTTGGGTAGTGCCAAACATGGATATATTTCTGTGAAAATAAAGGAACGGAAAAAATCTCATGTACCAGGCCATTAAGCTCTCAGTTATTTTGTCGTCGAGATACCCCTGATTGCCTGGACAGGCATTGTATTGGGCCATGAGGCTGTTTCTGCAAAGTAGCGGACTATGTACCAACTCGGATGCATGCAGACTTGGTTTCCATTGAGACGGGACTGACCAGACAGGTACTAGAGCCGTGATGCCGATGACCACTTGCACCTCTGCTTCCGGTCCGCGACACATTGGTAGACCGCCGTCGGCCGGAAACAAACAGGTCCATTGCTCTGCATACAACGTCGGTTTTCAATCACGCTCGCCTGGGGTTGCCCTCCTAGATGAGAATTTGGATTCGGCTCGGGTTTTAACTGACGGGATTGGAAAAATTGTCTTATGCAGTGCGGTGTTGGATCCATTCCAAAAGCAGCTATTTCTAAACCCTCTTGGGAGACTTGAAACTAAGTTAGTAAACTGATCTGACTTGACGTATGATGGTATGTGGAAAGTAAAATTGAGTCGCAGCTTGGATGAAAACGAGTGGCATATGTCTATAGTCTGCTCGATGAGTGCTCAAAAACTTCTGGCATTGGTTCGTGTCGATAGTACTGGGAGCTGTGCTTCTTATTTTCCTTCCATGTGTCGCCTGCAAAATATATTTTGAGCCACCAAAACACCAGACCCAACGTCCTTTGTAGTAGGCGGACCCAGTATGTAATCAGATTCATTCCACGTCCTCAACTCATCTACTCTGTGTCCCTCCGCATGGTCAGCCCAGCATAGAAATTCAATGGCCGCACCACTAAGAATTCAGGATCGCACACGACAGGCTCCGGCGACTCGTCGTGGAACTCGTATCGATACACCAGCTCTATCAGAACCATCTTCACCTGCGTGAGCGCAAGAGTAGAACCGACGCAGCCACGGCCTCCTGCAGCAAACGGCGTGTATGCACCGCAACGGGCTTGTTGTGCCGCGAAGCCTTCTTGCATCCAGCGGTTCGGATCAAACCGCGTTGGATTGTCCCAGTAGGCTGGATTTTTCTGTATGCTGGGAAAGCAGGCAATAACAATGGATGCTTTGGGTACCAAATACCCTCCGGGCAGCACCGTGTCTTGCTTGGCGTTGCGCGCTGTCTGGAAACTAGGACTATGGAGGCGGAGAACTTCTTTGATGAAGCAGTCGAGGAACTTCATTTTATGAATCTCCCCATAAGTCCATTGCTTTCTGGACGTGGAGGGACCTCGATGGGAAGCAATCTCCTCGTATAGGCATTGCTGATTCCCGGCGTAACGAACCAGGGAAAAAACAGCCCAGGAGAGTAGGGACGAGCTCGTGGTGAAGCCAGCTCCGCAACTCACCACAACATTTGCCCGGACGATGTTGTGCGGCAGCCTCTTCCCATCCCTGTCCGTGGCGCGATACAGAAAATCGGCCACACACGTCGCGCTCTGTATAGCCTCGGGATCAGACAGCGGCAGAGATGGGCCTTGTTTATCGACGCTGGCGTCCATGGCGTCCTCGGTCATGTCGAGGACCTCCTGACGGACGCTTTTCAATCGCGCCGCGTCTCCAAAGGGCAGATACTTGACCCATTGCGGCTGCATGGATGTCTTCTTCATCAGCGAGAGATACTGGCCAAACAGGCGGATCGGTACCGATGGCGGCGTTCTTGGAGACTCAAAATGCTTCAAGTCCTGGTTGAGTACCACGCGCCAAATGATCTGCGCCGCAAGTTTAAACATGTATTGGTACACGTTGACCGCTACATCTGCCCCGGCCAGCTCATCGAATGCCGGGAAGATGGATCGTGCAGCATCTTGTATCAGCGGCGTCAAGTGAGCCACGGCACGGGGCGACATTGTCGGTGGCACAAACTTGTGGCTCGGTGCAAAGGCAGGGGATGCGCTGTCACAGGTGAACAGGCAGTCTTGATCGGCCATGTAGTGCAGTGGATGTGAAGGATCAGACGTGGATTTGGTGAACAGCGTGTTTTCGCGCAGGACATGACGTGCAATCTCAGGGTCATTGGTGTGATAGATGGTTGTTCCCATGTTGACCGTCTTGATCATGGGGCCATAGATGGAGAACAGTCTGTCATAGTTTCCGAGGACGTCCGGGTACAGCTCGTAGCGATTACCGACAAACGGTAAAAGACGAGGGCCCCGGGGCTCCCGTATGGGCCCACAGAGTGTGGATCGCACTTCGACTGGGCCGGGGGCTTTCTGCGCGTCTTTCAAAGTCGAGATGTGGCTTCCATACTGGTCAACGAGCCATATTGCTACGTCCAGTCAGTCCAGAACGCAGCGGATACGCTGGCGGTGGCGCAAGGGGCGAGGAGATAGGATGTCTTGGATTCTGCCTATTGCGTCTCCATTTTGAGGGATGATAAGATGGACACACATTTTGCATCAGCAAAGCCATATGTCTCGGCCAGCGTTGTCGTGATTTGCTCTACGCTGCTGAAGGGTGCAATGTCGAGCCTGCGACAAATTTCGTTGCCCTCATTCCCAATGTAGAATTCTTTGTACATATCCACGTCTTCTTGGGCGAGTTGTTCGAAGCTGGTGTTCGCAGGCTCATCAAGGGGCGCGGTCCTTTTCAACTTGAAATTGTTGCTGCCAAGTCTTGGCCAGTTTTGTACACCTAAGAGGCATATAGAATTCATCACGAAGAGAGAACATGAATGCGACGACGACCCGCTCGCTTTGAACCTCCACCCTTTTCGGCCGATTTGAGTAATGAGCCATCCTGTTTTGTCGGACGCCGTTTGTCTTACTCCTTTGAGAACCCCGGCGAGCTGTCGCTTTGGGCGGGGCCCGTGGATGGTCCGCAATCGAGGTCTGTCCGCTCAATATGCTGAGCATGCCCACTGCCCACACCCTCTGTGGCTTCGAGGCACGAAGCAGCAGACAAATCTTGTCGATACTAGATACGTTTGGCAACCACCTCTATCAGCGTGTGTGAACGGCCATGGCATCTACAAGTACGCAGACGTGCGAGCCTTGGATCACACATGAACAGCTATTCGAACATGGGACTCCGGATTCGCTTTGGATTGCGATTCACGGTTGCGGTACGAAGACAGTCGATCCAGTCACCGTCTGGTCTTTCAAATGCAGCGCGCTGACGGGCCTTTCCAGTGTACGATGTGACCACTTTGCAGTGGAACCACCCGGGTGGCCTCGAGGTGCTCAGAAACAGCGCCGGCACAGATGGCACGAAAGCATACGAATATGCCGGCCATACCGAGGAGAACACGCAAACCCTTCAGGATTACTTTGTGGGAAGACTCGCAGTGGGACAAGAACAGACTCCGCGTCCTTCTCGTCCTTCCCTACGAGAGGTGGTCAAACCCACCAAGAACCCGGCATCCCGTCTCAGACGGTCCACCTCACCCTGGAAGACGCTCGCAGTCACCCTTCTTGCGACACCTCTTGTGCTAGCGGCACTGTCGCACAGCCGCCTTGGCTCGACACTATTTATTCGCCCGCTCCTACTCGACACGTTATGGAGCCAAGACACTCGGTGCGCAATCCTGCTAGGCGCAGCAGGCGCGTCCGCAGTGTTCTTGATGCTCTTTGGGTATCTTTATCACCTATTCTTGCTGTCTTTCGACTACCAGAATGATCTAGCTAGCTTTCCACCAACAATACCTAGGAAAACTGTAAAGTGAATTAGATAGACGGGTCTGGATGCCGCATTGAACCTACGATCAACTCTGAGCCATGCCAAACTTTGTGTTGACTGGAAAAAGTAGAGCAGAAAACCAGTGTGTTGACGGACGGGTCGGAATGTGCCTTGACAATACAACAGCGTTTGATGACCACGTGAACCAGTGTAGAAGCACAGCGTTAGGAAAATGTGAGCCTCCACACTGAGTGAAAACATATAAATACCAGATCTCACAGCACAGTCAATTCACTGCTCGTGGATGAAAGATTGCCAGTCTGCGCTATTGTGCTTGTCCATCGTCAGGATTCCAAGCCAACGACCAACAAGAAATGAAGAACTTGGCCAGCAATGTAACTAAAGGGGACCATTGACTCTCTCCACGTCCTTTGCTTTGTGTCTCTTTTCCAAGGACAGCATCAAGGGCCCGGACTGGAGGCTGAAATGCTCATACAAGCCGTCTTCAAAAAGGGCTTCTGAGTCGGATTGAGTCGGGGGGAAGCTGAGGTTGTACCGCATAACGAACGATGCCAAAGTGACTCGAATGTTGGCCAGCGCCAGGCGCTTCCCCACGCAATTCATGGGGCCCAGTGAGAATGGCGCAATGGCAGTTTTGTCCTTGACCAACTCCGTAAGGCTGTACCAGCGCTCGGGTATGAACTCATTTGCGCGGGGAAAGATGCGCTCGTCTGTAATCAAAGTGAGAAAAGACGAATACCACGGTGCGGTGATCAGTCCTGGAGAGGCCACTTACCACGTCCAATGACATACTGTGGGGCCATAACCTGCGTGTTGCCCGGGATGAAACGACCGGCGATCATGGCACCCTCGGGCGGAGTCACCCGGGTAGGATGGCTCGGGCTTGGTGGGTACAGGCGAAGGGCCTCTTGTACAATACCGTTCAGAAGGTCGAGGTTCATGATCTTATCGTCCATCAACATCTCGTCGGGATCCTGGGGGACATGCGGTCTCAATGCTTCCCGAAGCCTCTGGGCGAGATCGGGTTGTTTCGCAAGTACAAACAAGGCGCAGATCATGGTGATTCGGGAAGTGTCACTAATCAGTCGGTGAGTCAAACGCTTCATAGAGATCATATGCTCTTTGGACCTTACCTTCCCGCGTTGACAAGTAAGTGCGCTTCTCCAGCGAGCAAATGCACCGCTGTGTCGTCAAAAGGCAGAACCCCTGTCTTGTAAGGCGCAAAGAGGGTGCTCATGACGTCTGGCACCTTGGGCTCGATTGGAGCCTGTTTGGCGCTGGTTAGAGGCAACCTTGACAATTCAAGCAGCTAGGGCAGGAGCACTTGCATTATAGCGTTCAATCATTTGCTCGTGGCAATACTTGAACATGGTCTTGAGGTCTCTGTTGCCGCCGGGCATCGAGCTCCCAAGACGCACAAACCACATGGGCAAATGACGGCCAATGATGCTCATCCCTTTGTCGAGGACGCCCATGGCCCAATGATGACTGTCTGAATCTAGCAAGCCAAACGAATGCCCGAACGACAGGTCGCTCATGGTGTCCCAGGAGTACAGACCCAGCCAGTGGGCGATATTGACAGGTTGGCCGGCTTGCTCATCGAGTTTGGCGAGCATCTTTGCCCTGTACGGGTGGAAACGGGACTCGTAGCCTCGGACGGCCTTGTCAGAAAAGGCACGAGTCCAGATGGCTCGCCGCTCTGAGTGCTTAGCAAAGCTTCGGCGGAGAAGAACAGAATCCTGCGGTTTGCTAATGTCGTACCACACACTTTTTTCACATACTGAATGAGCTCCAAAGATGTCCACAACCGCGTTCGGATGCGTGATGGAGATCTCCTGGCTGCCAACGCGCACAAAGTAGCCGTATCGCTGGTGCAGCTCCTCGAAGGCTTTGAACATTCGCAGTCTCTTGATGCGAAAGACGATCCAAAATGTAGCGATCCGGGCAGTGAAGGGGCCAGGGAAGGCGTTGAGGGGGGTCAGAAAGGCTCGATAAACAAACAGGCTCCCAAAGAGACCGGCCAGAAAGAAGCCATCGTACACAAGTGTCTGTAGTGCGGCGTTGACCAGCGGCAGCCCCAGTCGATACAATAGAAAGCTGCAAGCTGCAAACAGCGCAGTATGGGCTTGTATGTACGCAAAGGCATACATGTGATGTTCACCACGAAAGAAGTATCCGATATAGCAGAGACTGCCAGCAACGAAGGCAACAATTCCTGTGTCCGCACGCATGATGAGCTCCATCAAGGACGACGTGATAGGTGACATGATGACCGGTTGCCGAGAAGCGATAAATTCCACTGTCTTGTCCGCGAGGACAAAATTTTGAGTCAATATCGGAATTAGGTATATATCTCTCGTCGGGGAATCTCTTTCAATTCTCACACTGGGATTTCACTCTTTACAATGTACTGTGACCTGATTAGTCGGATCGGGCCGAACGCCCAAATGGTCAACGAGGAGAACGGAGGAACGCCCAAGTCGAAAAGACGCCGAAGGATCTAATGGAAACTCCTCCGAAGGCTAGAGACAGGAAAGGAAAGGCTCAAAGCGCTTAATCCCGACCTCTTACCTGTTACGACCCAACATGCGACCGCATGAACCCGTCATGCGCCCCGCACGTGACATCACGCATAACCCATTCTTTTCCACCAATCACGCATTAATCACATTAATCACTATACTTAATACTATAATTAAGGTAAGTAACTATATTGAATCACCTCTAATTACAAATCAAACCTTCTATAAGGTTTAATAAGACCCACTTCTTATAGGGCGCTACAGCGCCCTCACGCCTATAAATATAGGCTTTCATTCACTGTTCTTTACCTATTACTTTGCCTACCCTAAAGGGTTCCCGGATTAGCGCGATTCACTTCCCCTACGCCTATAGAAGTACTACTTCTAATACTTAATATAGTAGTATATTAAATAAGAGCTATTAATATATAACGTTTAGATTAAACTAGCTATAAAGTAGGTAGATCTATGGTCGGTTTATAAACTAAGTATACTAAAATATTATCAACTTAAGCGGACGGATTATAGTCTATATACGAGATAGTATTTGTTGGAGCTAGGTAGAGATTAACTAAGGTAAAGCGTAGGCTTCTTATATATCATAGTGATTATAGAGTGATTACGGTTCTTTGTAGGTAATAGTGAGTGTAGCAGTGCTAGCCTTCAGAAGGTCATAGAAGGCTTTAGAAGCACTAGATTTGTAAGCGAAATAGATCCTTGTAAGGTGTAACGTTGGGGTTAGACTAGCTACAGGGTAGGCAGATCTAAGGTCGGTTTAACGTAATCCACATGCGAGCGGCGCACCCAAGCGAGCGGCGCACCTTCCCCGTCATCTACATACAAAAAGGTCGATCAAGAACAACACAATCAATTAAGTTACTAATTAAATAAAAGTATCGATAGAGTGAGACTTTAAATATCTTCCGGACAGCTTCGTACGTTATGACCTGTTTTGGCGCATTTGCTACAGCGTGCAGGCTTCGGACTGCCTGGTGGCTGAGGGCGCCTCTTTATACGCTTTTCTTCCTGAATCTGTTCATTAACCTTCTTCTGATCAATAAGGTCTTTCCCATCTTGCATAGTAAGGGTGCCTCTATGCTGAAGATAGCTTCTTTTAATCCCTCGACGCTTGCTTAATGCCTCATTTGCTGTACGCAGCGATATGTTCTCCGCTTGCAAGAGGGCTACTTGATGCATTACTGCTGTAGCACCCTTCGTTAGTTGATCCAAGGCATCAAGCATAGGCGTTGGAGAGCTGTTCTGATGGATAGAGATCCGATTTTTGATATCCTCTGACTGTGCGCTAGCCTCGTACGCATTCTGCGGCGTCTTTAAGACCCAAGGGTGCCTATTTTCAATAGGGTCTGCAGGAGGACTTGGCGTACGAAGCTTCACATCAAGCTTCGAGAGGACCCTTTCTGGGTCGTACGGTATAAGGCCAGTGCTAGCAAAGCCTCCTTGTATATTCTTCTCCGTGAAAGTAAGGAAGAAAGCTGCACGGAAGGCGCGAAGGAAGTCAACCTTTGAGATATGCGTGATATGTGCGCGCATTAGATCTTCCACTTATCGCCCGTACGCTTGTTTAAGAGGCCCAAAGCAACCAATATCGAGGGGTTGAAGAATATGGGAAGAATGAGCCGGCATACAGACCGTGATGATCTTCTTCTCCTGACAGAAGAGCTCAAAGTCGGTTGAATGGTGACTTTCGTGGCCATCAAGAATAAGCATTCGATACACGCCTTTCGTACGAGGGCTTGTATAGCGATCAAAGTGCTTGATCCATTCGAGGCCAATCTCATTAGTTGTCCAGCCGTTATCGGTTGTAGCGATGACCCAATCGGCCGGAAGGTCGGTCCCCTCGTACCAAGCTGAGAGATGGTACTTAGCCGCGAGGATAATAAAAGGAGGAATAGCCCAGCCGCACGCATTGACGCCTTGAATAACAGTTGCCCATTCCCTATTCCCAGGCTGGGCTAGTTTAGCCTTTGTTCGGCCTTCTGAGGTCGTAACAACCATACCCGCGAAGATAATACCCATCATAAAGCCCGTCTCGTCGAAGTTATAGATATCGTCATTCAGGATCCCATACTTCGCCTGTATATTCCGTACAAGCGTGAACCAGCCCTCAATAAGTCTCGGATCTTCGCATTTAGCCCGCTGGTGGTCATATCTACGAACCCAGCGCGTGCGAAGTTCTTGGTGGCGTTTAACGAAGTTTGAAGCCCAATGCTTGCCAACGGGTGGCGCGTCGCGTACGCGTAGTAGTTGGTTAGCCATATCTTCAACACCAGACAGTCGGGGAGGAAAAGATCGCGAAGATAGATCGAGTATATACTTAATAATCGCTCTCTCTTCTGAATCCGTTAGATTCATTGAATTCGGCCTGGTTTCGGCTCTAGCCTGAAAACCCTTCAGTCGGCGACGTATAGTCGTTGGAGGCACATTATAGACCTTCGCAATATGTCGGATACTTAATGACGCGTCTCCTCCGAGAGCTGCGAGGGCAAGGGTCACCCTAGATTCTTTTGGAAGTTCATCCATCATTAAATGCGGTGATAATTGGTGAGGAATGTAGTCGTGTGCAGATGACGGGGAAGGTGCGCCGCTCGCTTGGGTGCGCCGCTCGCATGTGGATTACGTTATAGGAAGCCCAGCTTCACCGTAGTCAGTCTCTACCAGCTCCTCAGCTATCAATACAGTTGTCTACGCAAGACCTACTCGTGCCGCGCCCCACCTCTTAGGTGGTGCTGGACACACCAACGGCCAGATCACACCAACGGCCACTTTTCACCACGATCAACATATTCTCGCGATAATGCCCCAGCCAACACGTTCAGAGCCTATATCGGCTATTGAAATACGCGTTCAAGAAGCACTTCAATATCTTGAGCAAAATCCTGACGCAAAATTAGCTACGATTGCGAGACAATTCGATGTCCCGCGTGGTCGCTTGAGGCGCCGTCGCGTCGGTGTGCCAACGCGTTTTAACCGCCCTACCTTTAATACAAAGCTATCAAGAGAGGAAGAAGTTGCTATTGGTCGCTATATCGATAGTCTTGATAGTATTAACTTTGCCGTGCGCGCTGAGTTTATTACGGATGCTGCCAACAACCTTCTAGCCGAGCGATGCGGGCCTGACCATATCGAGACTGTCGGCACACGTTGGACCACCCGCTTCATTCAGCGCCACGGTTATACAAGGCTTCTTTAACGAAAGATTGATATTAATAGGAAGGCTGCAGAGAATACACAACGAACGCGCGAATACTTTGAAAGGCTACGTCAGGTCATAGCCCTACACGGGATCCCACCAGAAGATATTTGGAATATGGATGAGACAGGCTTTCGGATTGGCATCGGCAAGGACCAATCTATCGTGACCAAGCGCAAGAGGCTTCATCTCTTTGGCATGCCTGAGAATAGGGAGTCTGCCACGGCGATAGAGTGTATATCTGCTGCTGGCGTTGTGATCCCGGCCTTCTTGATTCTTTCGGGACAGGTACACATGGATCAGTGGTATCGACTATCTGAGCTAAGCCCTCACACGAAGATCACGCTATCATCATCAGGCTATTCAAACGATCAAATAGCCCTATCGTGGATCAAGCACTTCGACGAGCACACTGCCGGCGCGGCCACATCAGCGTATCGTCTTCTAGTCATCGATGGTCACGGGTCTCACCATACAAAGGAATTTATCGGCTATTGCGCAAAGAAAAGGATCATCCCCTTCGCTCTTCCTCCACACCTCACACACCTATTGCAACCGCTAGATGTGGTTGTCTTCCAGCCATTGAAACACTATCACGCTAAGGCTCTTGATGTGATAATTCGGGACGGCGTGGTCAACGTGACGAAGCTCGAATTTCTCTCGCTAATTGAGGGCGTGCGCAGACAAGCATTCACAGCCAAGACGATAAAATCAGCCTTCAAGAAGACCGGCATCTGGCCCTTCGACCCTGATCTTGTGATTAGGGCTGTTGAAGAGCGTGAGGCTGCCCTACGGACTCCATCGCCACAGCCCTCATTGCTAGCTTCATCGGACTTCGAGACTCCTGTCACGCTACGGCAGATCAATAAGGTGGCCAACCGGATTGGCGAGGCCCTTCATGAGATAGATGACGACCTCGATAACGACTTTTCGTGGGATATAGACCGCTTTATCCGCGGCGCCCTCACAACAGCCGCAGAGCTTGTACAAGTGAAGAGGGACCTATCGCGGACTAAGAAAGCCGAATTAATGCAGCGCCAACGCCGGGCGATGAAGAATCGGCCTCTTCAATCAGGGGGCGTGCTGACGGTCGCAGAAGCCCGTGATATGGTGGTCCAACGCGATGAGGATGCTTTGGTGAAGGCCCAACGGCTCGTGGATGCTGCCCAAAAGAAGCTACGTAACTTATACAAACGGAATGCCGAAGGAGCCGCCAAAAAGGCTCGTAAATGGCGTATGGATAAGGTCACGGATACGCTCGAGGTTTATGACGAAAATGGTGTGCGTTATATTAGAAGGGGTTAATTACATCGCGATCTTCATCAAAGTGGCCGTTGGTGTGATCTGGCCGTTGGTGTGTCCAGCATCACCTAAGAGGTGGGGCGCGGCACGAGTACTATCTCGCACATAGACTGTGACCCGACCGCTCAAGTCAACGACATCCTAGTTAGTGTACTCAGTTAATAACGTAGTTAGTTAAACCGACTTCAGATCTACCTACCCTGTAGCTAATCTGACCCGAACGTCACGTGTCGCCTAAGGAATACTCACAATCATTGTACTAATTGTACTCTTGTGGTGCAGGGTGCAGAAGGAAGGCATTGCAATCTTCTCCCTGGATTTCCAAGTTTCTCCAGCCGCCTCTGTGCAGCCAGGGCTGGGGGTTGTGCGGGCGCGAGGGCCAAACTAATTTAGACTAAATGCCTGACGCGCTGAGGTCAATGCAACATATTTAAGCGCCTTCTTCGATTCACGCAAGTAAACATCCATGTGGTAGTACTACTTATGCACAATTTGGTTTGGGTCTTCTTGGTCACCTCACAGCTGTTCGTTTCGTCATGAGGCGGTTTCATTCTGGTGTCAGCTTTCGGCACCAGTTGTCAGCATACCCGGAACCATGTGTTTGGTAGACAAATGCTAGGTGTTGTTGATAGCTTTCTCGCCAAGTCTACATGAATAGCCTTGCAGCCGATGTGTGTTGCCGCGCCTATATCCGTACCTACCTTACTCGACGTCGAGTTGGCGCCTTTGACTTTAGGCAAATCTCCACAGTTGCCAGGTTTGGTGAGGGTGCTGATATGAATTGAAGCCATGCGGCATTTTCTTTTCATATCTTACAGATTATCCAATCGTCTGTTATATAGACCCCGAGGGGGGTTTTGTGTCAACTCAATGCCCAGGCCAGCTTGCCATACATCGAGGTTACCAGATGTGGCAGGCAGTGTGAGAGCTCTCGACCGGCTGCTGGGGATTCTGCCGGCTCCTCGTCGCATCGACATCGCGGCTCTCACATCGACATCATCGCATCCGCACAGCGCAACCTGCGAGGATAATGAAGGCGTCTCCGCGTACGCAAAGACGATCAAGACGATAGGCCACCCCAGCCGGCTCCATGTCCCGCAATGGCACAACGCCTGCCCTCCCCCACCGGGCGCCCCAATGGTACCACCTTCAACAGCGCAGTCGCTCCAGCTTAGACCGCGCATCATCAGACGCAAATATCCCAGCCTCGCCGAGCAGTAGTTTAACGCGATCAACCGTTAAGGATGAGCAGCGGTCGGTCAAGCAGCGGGCCTGTACGCTGGGGATCATCGAGGATCACTCGCGGGATGAGGTTGTCCTCAACTTCGAATGCCTCGGCGGCGGGCCACTAGCGCAGACTTCTCATGGATATCACGATGATCAAGGGAGATTCGACAAGGAACGGGTCGGGATACGGGAGCCTGAATAAGCTGACTTCCATAAAGATGGTGGGCCGACGAGAGGCATGTCTTGGTCGCAGCACGATGCGACGTCCGAGCCCGTCATAGACCGATACGTATTCGTTGCCAAGGACGCCCCGAAACACATGAAGGACCGTCAGCCCGACGCAGATGTGCTTGTTGTCAAGCAGGTTGCCGACGCCTTTGGGATGAAAAAGGGATGCCAGGTTCTGCTCGAAGTGGTAAATGCTAAGATTTAATAGCTGGACAGACGAAAGCTGACGCATGGCCATAGGTCGACAGCGACAACCCAGTCATCGAAGCGACGCATATCGAGTTGCCTTCCAAGGATCAATACCTCTCCCGCTATGATCTCTGGAGGCTCACAGTCGGCGACTTGACGAAACCGGTACAATCTACAAGGGCCAGTCGATCCTATACATGGACACAATCAAAGCGCAGGTCACTGCTGTCTTCGTTGGCGGCTAGCGAGTCTACTCAGGCTTCTTCACGCGCGCGACACACGACCGATATTTCGGAGCGAGTCTGCTAGATACGTCTTGTTCATTTAGATGGCCAAGGAGATGTGAGACTTCGACTCAGAAAGCTCTGGCGAGATCATGTTCAGCAAGGTCGTTAACGGCTTTTTGCCAGTGCTGTTCAAGCGATGGGCCACCTTACGGGTCAAACACCTTGTTAGCATCGTCCTGTTCGCCCGTGTCGAGTACGACACTGGTTTGACCACCGATCTAGCTAGCAGTGCTCTGCAGAGCGATTACTACACGGGGATCCAGCCGACTGGTACGAAGAGGCCGCACAAAGACTTCTATCGCGTCGTCGTGAGTGAGATGACCAGCGGCGAGTGGACCGAGATTCTTCACCGGCTTAAAAACGAGTTCGACTACTTTCAGCGAGACATTAGTACACACCTCCATCAGACCGACGTCGATCTGGGTTTCGCCAACGAAGAGGAGCTGCCGGAGAACGCTCGTAACCGAAATACCGCTGTTCCGGTGTTGTCCATGCATGGCAACGTTCTGGAGGCGATCCATCTGGCCGTCACAAGTTGCCCATGACTATATCGATCGAGATCTTACCAGAATGGGGATCTCCGTTACCGTTATTATGTGTGGCACTGGTGTGTTTGAAGCCGACTACGAGACCCTGAGGCGCGTGACGGAGGCGTTGGTAGGCAATGGCATTGGGATCGACCTGATATGCATGCCGCGGATGCCACTTCACTCCGTGCCGTTGCTCAAGTATCGCAACTCTCACTACACAGAGGACCATCACAGCCACAATCTGGCCCCATAAAGGTCTTACCAGAGTCGCGAGAACACTCCTGGCCATCCGACCCCCGTTGTGGGCAGTTATCAGTCACTCAATGGTTCCTTCTCGCCGAGCAAAGGCATGTCGAACAGCCTGACGAGACTCATTGACTCGATGGCATCGTTGGGACAGAATGACGAGTGGTGCTACGCCTTCCCACAATGGCTGCACGTGTCGTATTGGACTGGCAACTCGGACGAAGCTTTGTGTTACGCGGGCATCGCGCTGTCCGTGTCGAACAATGTGGCTAAAGATAGTAGCGACGACTTCACCATGCGATGCCGCATGTACGACTTGCAGATGAGAAGTCTCCCCGAAACGAATGGGATCGAGACTGCCCCCTTGCTAATGGATCCAAACTTTCTATCGAGCATCCAAGACCTGGGATCTTCGTGGAAAGCTCGGCATAATGGCATCGATGAGGTTGTGTACATTCCGAATCGGCACGTCCGCGATTCATTGTTCGATCATGTGCACGGCTTCCAGAAGTTTGAGCCGGATAGGCTGGTCGATCCCGGGGAGACAACAATCTAGAAGAAGCTGAAGGACTTTGATAATTCGCGCGCAAAGCCTCCGAGCTCGAAGCGCCATCATCGCACCAGCAGGCAAGATCCCGAGATCGAAGATGAGACAGGTCGCAAGCTATCAGAAGGCGTCCGTCTGGTCGGAAGCTCGTTGCAAGAGCGGAAAATTGCGTATCATCAAGTGTGGAAGCATTCTGTAAACATTCCTCGACCGGAAAGGCCCCGCATCGCGCCGCTCACCAAACCTGCCGAAGCATCGGTAAACGCCGGCACAAGCACGAGCAATATCAGGACTTCGGCAACAACGGCGAAACAGCCAACTTTTATGAGACAAATCAGCTTGGGACAGCGTGGCTTTGGAGTGGCTGCACCCAAGGCCGTTGCGGCCGAACTAAAGACAGAAAATGCCATTGCCTTGGGTGTATCGACTCCTAACACCGACTCAAAACGACCAACAACACCTCGCATCGTCTCAGACTTGCGTCCATCTTCGCCACGTACTATAAGCAGCCAGACCTCGTCATTACTGGCTGTGCCGACGGTGAGCAAACAGTCCCGGGACCATGATGATGCCCGCGGGGAAACAGTACCATCTACAACGAGCATACCGATCACGAAAAGGGGCAATGAGAGGATGCGCAACAACTCATCCAACCCGCTGTGAAACTCTTCCATTGCAAGCGCAGTGCAGAAGCGTCACACGAAGCACGACGAAGATCAGGATATCAGGTGCTCCAACACCCTGCGACCCGAAGATGCGCACAAGGTGTCTATCAGCAAGCTGCGTGCCGGGCCGGTGGTCGAGCTCGTAACAGCGCTCTCACCGAAAACCGCCGTCACTCCCTGGCTGACTCTTCTAAACCCGTCGAACCCCGATGGTCATCGGATTGACGATGCGATCCTGTATAGCCGTTGGCAGCATGTGTTTCCGTCGACCTTAGAAGTGAAGGTGCAAAAATGTAAGTCTTTGTGCTGTCCTGCCTCGGTACCGCTCACGACAGAGTACTTCCCCACCAAGACGCAATTCGATACATAGTACCAGCGTCACCCCTACACATTTAATCAGAATACGATGATGTGGTCGAGGAGCCTCGGAACCGAACGGAGTTCATTAGAGAGCTCATCAGTCTGCGGTTCTCCCAAAGCTTCTAGGTCGTCATACGACCGTCCGTGGCAAGAGCTCTTGGGCAGAAGCAGATCAAGATCGGTGAAATCTTCTCCCGAGACCAGCCGCTGGAAGATGGTGGGAGCGTATTCATGTCTGTAGGGAACACCATCCATCAGCTGTCGTGTGTGAACGGCACAGAAGTGGGGGGTAAATATCTTCGTTCGCAAACCAACAGAGTCCTCTGCCTCTTCGGAAGAGTTCAGCTTCACGTACAAGCCCGCCATCAGGACTCTGTTCGACACCACATACGAGGCTCGTCAGATTGAGATACTCGCACCTAGACCGGAACGCAACTGGAACGCCATTGACTCGTATCTTGCGGGTCACCACGACGAAATGATGGAGAGCCCGAGATGATGGAGAGCCCGAGATGATGGAGAGCCCGAGATGATGGAGAGCCAGATTCGTCTTGATCCCAATATCCATGCGCAACTCCAATGTCACAAAAGCACACATAGCGGACAACGCGGAGGAAGTTCACATCGGGGGTATCAAGCGCCTGGCCCATTCATGGCAGAGGAACCGATATTTCCCACCTTCTGAATAGTGGCTCAATACGCCTGCCCCGGCTCACCGCAATGATGCAAACCTTCTTAGCTTCGTTCACAAGACTGATGATCCGTCTATCATCATAGCGGCGCAGGTTGAGACACTTCCGCTCCTCAAAGGTCAGGATCCTGCCCCGCGAAATGGACAGCTGCTGTCTCGTAAGGAGAGATTTTGCAAGTCCAGCTTGCACTTGACTGCCCTTGCCGTGTCAATGCAGCAGCCACTTGATCAAGGCGGTGTGAACCTCTGCAATCGACGCTGGCATCTTCACCTGCACTCGAACTCATTCATCGGCTCCGACATGACTTTGTGGCTGCTTGACAACTTCGAGGACTTTGAAACAAGACTGGAAGTGGAGGCTTTTGGAAACAAGCTCATGGCTCATGACGACGGCAAGCATAAAGAGAAGGACAAGAGCAAGAAGGGCGGCGACGGCAAGGAAGGCCGGCCACGTGGGTTGTTTGTCCATGCCGAAAAACGCCATGAGTTCCGGGACAACAACTACTACTACCAGATATCGAACGATTACGCAAAGTCACAGCTAGGTTGGTTTGGGTCTAAACGGCGGGAGCCATCGGTGCCACCGACCCCGATGAACGAGAACTCGCCACGTCTGGCACTGCCACGTCCACAAACCGGCAACGACAACGATCCCGGGGCATCGAACTCCACGACCCCGACCATCACGGGCTTTCGGAATCGCAACAATAAGCGCCCACGCGTGTATCTGAGTAAAGTCATCAAGTATGATATAGACCACCGAAAGAAGTCATACCGTCCAAGAGAATCGATCTCCACTACAATCGCCTCCACAACCCCGACGACTGCTATCACACCCTCATCGACTGGATGAACACCACGTCGAAGCTTGTCGAGAACGTTGTGGAGAGTTGGTCCCGTGAGGCCAGCCAGTAAGGCTTGCGCCTGGTCGAGGTGCCGATAAGAGAGGCAAACGCCATCACGGAAGCTAATCCCTTCCGGAGGCCTGTCCCGGTCAAGCTCGCTGTGCGTCCTTCTGACAAGCAGCCGGACGACGTGTACCAGGATCCAAACTCCAGTGGCCCGCAGACGACGCAGCGGAAGTACTTCTACCAGACTGCAATTCTGGGGAAGTTCGACTTTGTACTGGACATGGAGGCCGCGTCGAACTTCGCCGCGGACGTGGACGTGAAGTTCTCGTGGGGCAAGCCTGACTACCGGTACACCCAGTACATCCACCGCTCAGGCCGTCTGATCACGCAGATCACGGATGAGAACCAGTTCAACTCGTGGCTAACAGGCTGTTCAATAACCACGCCTACCAAGTCCAACATAACCGCAACAAGGGCAGCGACCAGGATCGCGGCGGCGGCGACGGCAGCAGTCGAATGGTATCATCCATGTCTTCCTACAGCGCCATCAACCTTCCGGAGCCGACGCCCATCTCTTCACCGTTGGTCAAGCCCGCGTTCCACCACTACTCCCCCGCTCTGAAGCCCAGCGAGCCGGAGCAACTCATGGCCGAGCTCGAGGACTTCTGCAGCATTAGGGCCGGGCTCGAGACCTTCCAAAAGGATACGATGGAAAGGGGCGAGATTGTGCCCGGCACGCCTGCTTTGTTGGTGGCCAGCGGGCTGGAGGCCCTGCCGGAGGCGAGCATCCCGACGCTTGGCCTGCGGCCAGGTGTGCTGGGCAGAGAGGGCCACGGGGTCCGAACATCCGGATGGGGAGCCTGATGTCGTTCCTGAGGAGCAGCGTGCAGATGAACGGCATCGGGCTGGGGTCTGGGCCGCCGAAAAGAAGAACTGAGGAGACTGCGGCTGGGAAAGCCATGTACGAACTCATGTAGTGCACGAAAAGTTTAAGCGCTGAAATGTCGGTGTCACATCGGACGGTTTGACAATTTTCCCAAGCCATTCTCAGCAGTCTGCAACCCTGGGCTCGTCGAATGTTCAGCATCGGCTTTGAAACTCGTCACCCTCGCGCCACTTCACTCATGCGCCATGACAAACCTTAAGGCTGACCGCCTGGACGTCAAGAGAAATCCATGCTGCCTGTTCTGGTGTCTTTTTTGATGCTATATATCGGCAAACTGGGGAGGCTTAGGGTTAGAAAATGGGCGTTTACTAAGAAGCCTCAGACTCCCATTCTTTGACACATGCCCAAGGTGTACGCGGGCCCCGCAGATTTAACACCAAGATACTTGGTCTCACAGGCCTTTGCCATGGCTAACAAATACATCATCGGTAGCGGGCGGGACCGGGGCTTTGTTCACGAAGACTCTTCCGGCAGGCCGCAGATGATCATGGGGGCGGTCGGAAAGGGTGACACGGGCCTCAGTTTCCAGGAGGGGAATATGGACGGGTTTTAGGAGCGATATTCTGAAGTTGTACAAGTGAATTTTTTAATTAGAGTGTCCTTGGAAGGGCAATCAGCAATGAAGTCCAGTTGTATAAAGCCGTCGAGCATCGACGCTCTTTCCACACGACACCGTAAGCTCATACACAGCATCCGCTCGACACCACTCATCCATATTTCTCTTCTACTCGAGCTGGCACTCCGTTTGCTCGCATCAATAAAATGGCCACCCGCTCACTCGTTCTCCTGGGCCTGTCCAGTCTCGCCGCCGCCCAGACAACCATCGTCTCTCTCCTCTACGCGGGCGGCAAGCCGGAAGGCAGCGTCATGTCGGCCTCCGTCATTGGCATTGGCGACGATGCCACGACCTACTCCCTCACCTGCATCCCGACCGAGTCCAACAAGCTCTGCTTGGGCGGCATCGGGACCATCACCCAAGGCCCGTCGACGTTCGAGTACTCATTCAGCACCAGCGACTCGGAGCTTTTTGAGTTCGTATTACCGCTGATCTCATCCGGAGAAATTCGGTACTGACACACCACCAACAGGACGCTAAAGCTGGCCTGAGCTCTCCATTCGGACGATGACGAGGCGATTTGTGACGCCGAGACGACCTTCTCCTCTGGAACAACCACGAGGTCTGCGGAGGCGGAAACGAAAAGGCGCTTCACTAACTTCCTGATCGCTGTCACTGTCACTGCCGGTGCAGAGAAGCTGGAGGGAGGCAGCACGGAAACTGGCAGCTCTGGCTCCAGTAGAGGCCCTCCGGCGTCTACGCTAGGCTCGGATGATGAGGAGGACGCCGCACCAAGAGTCTCGGGCAAGACTTTGTTCGCTGTAACCGTGACATTGATGAACGGGCTCGTCCTTCTTTGAGCGGTGTGTATATCATTTCAGTCAATTTACCAGCGCGGAATACCTTGGTAAAAGGCGAAGTGCTGTAACATTGGGTTAAGTGTAGGTATAGTAGGTGCTGACGTACAAGAATGTCATGGTTTCGAACTTTACTTCCTTTTTGAATCAATCGACCTCCACGTAGGTATAGCCCAGAAGGCGTCACATACGCCGACAATATTTCCAGCCATGGAACCTAGTGTTGAGGTACCGAAACGGTTAGAATCAAGCCTGTTGCTTCGGCATCCTCGCGTCTCAATCAGTAGTGGACTCGCTCTTTGCGGCCATCCTGCCAGCTGGTGCAGCTGATACAGCGTGCTGACTGGAAAGGGTATAGTCAGTATTTGTTGAAGAATGTCTACAAGACGTATTCACCTTTTCGTTGATATGCTTGCGGCAATATTTGCACTTTTTGCTGTGCTTGATGATGGGTTCCGAGGATATGATCTGCAACACGCTCGCCATTCCATAGAGAGTCAGTCCAACCATAATGAATGAAACGCATTGGTAGATGAACGATCTGCATGCGTTAGCTAGGACTTGCTGTCGCTGCCGCTTGAGACGTACCCGTAGGTCATGACGACCGCACCATCCTCAAGGGCTTGAGCCGGAGTGTTGTAACCCTTCTCCGGGTCGTAGCTGTCGCCGCCCCGGAGAACAGCAAAATTCTCTTGAAAGTTCTTGTTGATGGGCAAGAGCACCGAGATTGGGGACATGAGAATGTCGCCGACAAAGGACTTGATGAGATCGGTGAAGATGGAAGCAAGACTGTGGCTGGTTAGCAGGGGTTGTCGCGGGTGGTCTGATGGGGTCATACATCAAACCAAAGGCGATTTGGAGGACGTTGCCTTCGAGGGCGAAGTCGACGAATCCATCCCAGCGGCGCTTCACCTTACGGGCGCTTCTTTCGACGAGAGCGTCTCTCGCTGGACTGGCGTTCACCGTCTCGAGGGAAGTGGATCAGCCGCGTGAGGCACACTGACGAGAATGGGGTTCACAGTTGCAGAAGCATACGCAACCGTTCACACCCGTATTTTTCGAGCATAATCTCATGGCTGCTCGTCGAAAGCTTGAACATGTAACTTTGCTACGCATGAGGCCTCAGGCGATGGGGGAGTATACCGGATCAGTCAGCGTAGGCATAGTCCCAATTCCCGCGTGCAAGTGGAAATCACTCCCTAGCTAACCCTAGCTAACCCTAGTACCTTTTCCTTGGCAACGCTTGCTCGGGCGTACGGGACCTCAGCACCCTGATAGTCGAGCCGACTATACCGAACGTAACCTAGAGTATCAAGAAGCCTGATCGTGGCTTCGTGCTCTTTTCCGAATAGTTCTTGGAACCTAGAGAGCAGAGGCTCCAAGATAGCGGAGGTATTTTTAAAATTCCCGCCCTTATTTCCCCGAGCGCGAAGGAATACGAGTCCCGAGTCCCTGATAGCAACTAACGTGGCAGGGTGGTTGTTCCCGCGTTAAGCCTTAATACCGATGACCACTTTATTCATCAGCTTGCTAGCTCTTTCGTGGCTTTCTTTCTTCCTAAATAATCTTTTAGCGAGACTATGTATAGCATCGAGGGTCACCGTGTGGCCAAGACCGAGTTCTTGCTTCTTCTCGCTAACCGAACTCGTCTACTGGCGCGTTATCTGATCTTAAGCGCTATATTTAACAGTCTTTAGTAGAGCCGTTATGATTTTATAGCTTTAGTCGTCTATGGAGGAGAATTTAGCTATAGTTCTGTGATTCGCCTTAAGTATTATCGACTGTTTTGATAAATCTTGAGGTATGACCTGATCTGTAGTTAGTATTGAAAATAGGCTGGGTTTTATGCTAGACGGAATCCTTTTGGCGTACGTGAATCTCGGCGCCGCTCTCGCGGTTGCTTTACCCTCGGCAAATGCCCTTGTAACGAGATACTTAATCTACTCGGTAGTCTCGAAGTATTCTGATGAGGGTAACGACATACGTATGCAGGATATATGCTTCTCCTCCGAGTATATCGATACGATGTTCTGTATTATTTTCTCCAAGGAGTACTTATGATAGCTAGCATAGGGTATGTCTAGCAAGATGATCCCGCGGGTGCTGAGATACATAGAGTACCAGCGGTGCGAGTCTTCTATATTCTTATGAGATTCCTTAGCTAGAACCAGAGCCTTTGAAGCAATTAAAGTTTTTCTAGTATCGATTCAGGATTTTTTTACCTTCTAAATAAGTAAGCCGCCGAGGCCATGCGCCAGAAAAACGATAGGCGAGAGATTCTCTCAAGGTCCACGAATCAGTCCAGGAAGTCTTGGGTGGTGAGATAGAGAACCAACACTAGTCATAAGTCGCTGCTCAATTACGTCTTTAATACACTTTGGAGGTTGTGTGGCCATTCAACCGAGATGCATCCGCGCTGTGTGTGGGTACGGACACCCACAGGTGCGACAGCGATAAGATAGTATTGATAGCGCCGCAGCCAATCAGGCTGCGTGCACAAGATCCAAGGAGCAGCCGCGCCATGCCTATTTAGGCTGACCGACTGGCTGCCCAAGGACGTTTGTATTGATCATCCCTTTTCCGCCTGTTTGATCTGCCATTTAGTGCATCAATCTTCAAATTACACGGCAAATACGGATACACGCGCTGTGGTATGCACAGCCCCGGGGTGCTTAATTTTAACTCTAATCAAGTGGGTCCGCGGCACTTTCGCTAAGGCCGTACCATGGATCATTAATTTTGAGCACGGGCGTCACAGACTCACAATGTGCACAGCCCCGCAATACTTGGTTTCACCTCAGATCAAGTGGGCTCGGACCCATCCGCTCAGGGCCGTACCGTGGGATCATTTAGTTCACACAGACTGTTTAACTCTAGATGAATATAGTTAAGCATAGCTTTTGTTGCGTATGTACGCCAATTAGCCACATTCAGAGCACAAGCGGAATTCCTTTTGGCCTGTTTGATAGGTTGTGAGCCCTCGCACTTCAGAGCGCATAGTTCGAACCCCACTGATGTCAACCAGGAGAAGAATCTGCCATACGAGAAGCAGCACACATGACTTGACAGAGAGGTACAGAGGCTTATTGAGGCCCGGCAAAAAGTGAGAGCCGTATCATTATGTGGCTGTGGGCAGCCTGGTCTATGGTATATAGGCCAGCCTGGGGGGTAGTGTTGCGTATGTACGCCAATTAGCCACATTCAGAGCACAAGCGGAATTCCTTTTGGCCTGTTTGATAGCTTTCTACATACTAAAATGGTCGGTTGTGGCCGGCCTTGAGCGACTGTCGGCCAGACAGTCGCTCATGACGAATCGTTGTGTGTGTGATTGAGGCCGACTGGCCTGTCAGACGGCCGGATGTCGATTGGAGTAAAAGTGGGGGGCACGGGAAAGGTGCAATATTTCTTCCTCTGTTCTTGTACGGAGGACTCTATCAAAAGCAACCTCCTGCCAAGGCGCTAGAAATATCACTCGTTAGCAAGTGACACAAAGACAGTACACGTACTCAGAGACCTTTCCCCGGCAATTGAAGTACTGTTGAAGTCGTTGCGCTACGCTCTTGATTTGTGCCTACTGAGCCGAAGACAAGTCTTTTGAAAGCGTCTTCCGTACATCCCCGCGTAGCGCAACGTTGTTCAATGTACCACAAGCTCTTGTACGTACCTCAGTGCCTCACTGACTATGTCAGCGTAAGCGTTGAGGTCGAGGCCGCGGTCCGATATGGTACTGTCATGCACCAAAATGGTGAAACCGACACCGAAACCTGGTGCGGCTTACTTATGTAGAAGGTAAAAAATCCTGAATCGATACTAGAAAAACTCTTAATTGCTTCAAAGGCTCTGGTTCTAGCTAAGGAATCTCATAAAAATATAGAAGACTCGCACCGCTGGTACTCTATATATCTCAGCACCCGCGGGATCATCTCGTTAATGAGGGGTGCTGGTGCTGGCAAGTTAATAGACTCGAGATAGAGGTAGGAGATTGAGACGATCAGGAACCGAATGACAGTTGGCATTAGTCGATCAAGAAACCACATAAGTGTATATATATATACCTAGGAAAGTTGACGTCCGCTCCCACACACGCTTCGATCTGAGTGGGGCCAATGTACTTCGATGATGCAATCGCGGCTCTCTCCGCACGGGGACACTGGCGTTCTGCCCGGGCAGAACGCCGCCACGTGCGCAACCAATCCGGGAAGCCGGCCATACTCGACTTGATAGGACCGACGATATGGATGCCATGTGGTTTTCCGAGGTCTAGGCTGTCTACAGTGCGGGCGAGCGATGGAGTGCAGAATGGAATGGATGGAGATGACGATATTGCCTCGTGAGACATTCGAGCCAACCGGCAACAGCGACCCAAACAGTGCACCAAGTGTGTCGTGGCAGACCAGTAATAAGCCGCCTAGATTATCATGGCCGACAATTCTTCTAATTCCTGCGACACATCTACCTGCCTTACCCATTTATCATCAAACGCTGCTTCCATTTGCCTCAGATGCTTCCGGGTCAGTCAATGCGCCAGTGATATCTTGTTTGTCTCATGACCATGTTCCGCAGACGAGCAGCGCATACAGAGCATGGGCAGTGTGAGAGAGTCAATGACGGGATGCAAGGAGTGGGCTCGCACCGTATGTGTCAGCCTACCAGGGAACGGGTGCTCTGGCCCCAGCCAACCTCTAATCTACAGCTGGCCTTGCCGTTCGTCGATCATGAGTCAGGCTCTCATTGACACGGCTGTCACGATCTCGATGAGGGTTTTGAACAGCTCATACTACGGTAAATTAGGCGTCTCCTACCCGGGGCCTGCGTATGACGTAGGCTGGCTCCAGCTGCTCGACAGCGGTCTCGCTAAAGAGATTTCGCTCACACCATTGCTTCCAACGGTCTCCGGTGTAATCCTACGGGGAGGGGGGGGAGCTGTCGTTACGGCAGGTACAGGCACTGGCTCAGAAGTCGCATCGGAAATGGATGGATGACCCCAGCGACTTGAGGAGCGCGAGAATTTCTGCCCCGGAATATGCACGAGGTGCGGGCCTTGTCGGCGGTCGCGGTCGATCGGTACCATCGTAGGGCCTAGTAGCGACCATGGACTCGAAACATTCTTGACAAGCGCAGTGACCGCAGAGTGAGTGAGAGACTACGTACCCGGACCTATCTTCTCACGCACGCACGCATCCAAAGTCCAGTCCAGCGGACAAGTGCTGGGGCCTCAGCTGGGACGCCCTAGACCGTGCTGTTTTTGGCGCAGAATCCATCGCATCGACGGCAGTTCGCACCTTATACTGAAGTATTCTCCCCATCCTCTCCACCAAAGTCTTCTCTTTCTCTTCTCCACTTCTTCCGAACCCACTAATGCTATGCTTGTACGGATAGCGACATCGAACTCATTCTCGTGCTGTGCTGGATACTTCCCTCTCTCCCCCTCCCCCATCCTTTTCCCTCTTGTATTCCAGCAGCGAGAAGCGCGACGCCGCGGACCTAGCAACATACTCACTCTCACGCAATATCGATCTTGCTAGGTCTAAGCTTGCATCATGGCTGATGACAACCCGACCGGCGCGGCCCCTACGCTGGACACCAACATCGAGTCCGGCGGCTTCGACGAGAAGCGCGCCCACGATGCCCCTCACCAAGACTCGGCTACCGCCCAGGGCGGCGCCATGCCCCCCAAGGCTGCCAAGCCTGTCGAGGAAGAGGACGAGGACGAGGACATGGATGCCTTGATTGAGGATCTCGAGTCCGAGGACGGTCACCAGTTCGAGGAGGACGAGGAAGAGGAAGATGGGAACCCCGGCGGTGGCCGCACCGTCCCCGAGGACATGCTCAAGACCGACTCGCGCGTTGGTCTTACCGAGTCCGAGGTCACTGCTCGCCGCAAGAAATATGGTCTCAACCAGATGAAGGAGGAGAAGGAGAATCACATTCTCAAGTTCCTCAGTTTCTTCGTTGGTCCTATCCAGTTCGTCATGGAGGTACGTTTTCTCTCTACTCATTTCCCTACATCACACCTACACAAATTGTTTCGCGGCCCTCCCCCAAAACTGGCACTTCAAATCTTGCCTTTGTTGGGCGGTCCTATGACCGCCTTCCTGTGCTTTTTTGGTGCGAGATTACGATGGAACCGACAAGAGCTTTGAGCGTGCGCCATTGGCCAATGCGTGGGCTGCCTCTGATGGCTCACGTTTCCCCCGGGCCTGGATGCACCCACAATCGGCGGCCATCGGCACGGGCTCGGCCCTCCTGGCTCTCCCAAGGTGGATCCTGCGCGGTCGATGGCCGGTTGCGCTCGCTTGTCGCTCGCTTTCACGCGTTGATCGGCAGCCTGCACGCATCGGATCGCTCTCGCTCACTGCTCGCTCTGGAGTATTTGGGAATTCACTTGCTGACAATCTCCGCCACAGGCTGCTGCCGTCCTTGCTGCCGGTCTCGAGGATTGGATCGACTTCGGTGTCATCTGCGGTCTCCTCGTGCTCAACGCCTGCGTCGGTTTCTTCCAGGAATTCCAGGCCGGCTCCATTGTCGACGAACTTAAGAAGACTCTTGCCCTCAAGGCTGTCGTCCTCCGTGATGGTACCCTCAAGGAGGTCGAGGCCCCCGAAGTCGTTCCCGGTGATATACTCCAGGTTGAGGAGGGTACCATTATCCCCGCCGACGGTCGCATCGTTACCGAGGAGGCCTTCCTCCAGGTTGATCAGTCTGCCCTGACCGGCGAGTCGCTCGCTGTCGACAAGCACAAGGGCGACAACTGCTTTGCCTCCTCCGCCGTCAAGCGTGGTGAAGCCTTTGTCGTCATCACCGCCACTGGCGACAACACCTTTGTCGGACGCGCCGCTGCCCTTGTCTCCCAGTCTGCTGGTGGAACCGGTCACTTCACTGAGGTTCTCAACGGCATTGGTACGACTCTGCTCATCCTCGTCGTCCTCACCCTCCTCGTCGTCTGGGTTTCATCGTTCTACCGCTCCAATGGCATCGTCAAGATCCTTAAGTTCACCCTTGGTATTACCATTGTCGGTGTCCCCGTCGGTCTGCCCGCCGTCGTCACCACTACCATGGCTGTCGGTGCCGCCTACCTTGCCAAGAAGCAGGCCATTGTCCAGAAGCTCTCTGCTATCGAGTCCCTCGCTGGTGTCGAGATCCTCTGCTCTGACAAGACCGGTACCCTGACTAAGAACAAGCTCTCCCTCGCCGAGCCTTTTACTGTCGCCGGTGTCGAGCCCGATGACCTTATGCTCACTGCCTGTCTCGCTGCCTCGCGCAAGAAGAAGGGCATCGACGCTATTGATAAGGCTTTCCTCAAGTCCCTCAAGTTCTACCCCCGCGCTAAGTCTGTCCTGTCCAAGTACAAGGTTCTCGAATTCCACCCCTTCGACCCCGTCTCTAAGAAGGTCCAGGCCGTTGTCGAGTCTCCCCAGGGCGAGCGCATCGTCTGCGTCAAGGGTGCCCCTCTGTTCGTTCTTAAGACCGTGGAGGAGGACCACCCCATCCCCGAGGACATTGATAAGGCCTACAAGAACTGCGTTGCTGAGTTCGCTACCCGTGGTTTCCGTTCGCTCGGTGTCGCCCGCAAGCGTGGTGAGGGCGCCTGGGAGATCCTCGGTATTATGCCCTGCCTTGACCCTCCCCGTCACGACACTAGCCGCACCATCAATGAAGCCAAGAAGCTCGGTCTCTCCATCAAGATGCTCACTGGTGACGCCGTCGGTATCGCCCGCGAGACTTCCCGCCAGCTTGGGCTCGGTACCAACGTCTATAACGCTGAGCGCCTTGGTCTCGGCGGCGGTGGTGACATGCCTGGCTCAGAGGTCTATGATTTCGTCGAGGCTGCCGACGGTTTCGCCGAGGTCTTCCCCCAACATAAGTACTCGGTCGTCGAGATTCTGCAGCAGCGTGGTTACCTGGTTGCTATGACCGGAGACGGTGTAAACGACGCTCCCTCCTTGAAGAAGGCCGATACTGGTATTGCCGTCGAGGGATCCTCCGATGCTGCCCGTTCTGCTGCCGATATCGTCTTCCTTGCCCCCGGTCTCGGCGCCATCATCGATGCCCTTAAGACCTCCCGCCAGATCTTCCACCGCATGTACTCCTACGTCGTCTACCGTATCGCCCTCTCACTGCACATGGAAATCTTCCTTGGCCTCTGGATTGCTATCCTTGACCGCTCCCTTAACCTGAACCTCATTGTCTTCATCGCTATTTTCGCCGATATCGCCACCCTGGCTATTGCCTACGATAACGCTCCCTTCTCGCAGACACCCGTTAAGTGGAACCTGCCTAAGCTCTGGGGCATGTCTGTCCTCCTCGGCGTCGTCCTGGCTATTGGTACCTGGATCTGCTTGACCACTCTCTACGTTGGTGGCGAGAATGGTGGTATCACTCAGAACCGTGGTGACATTGACATGATCATCTTCCTTGAGGTCTCCTTGACTGAGAACTGGCTGATCTTCATCACCCGTGCCAATGGCCCCTTCTGGTCCTCTATCCCCTCGTGGCAGCTTACCGGCGCCATTCTGGCCGTCGATATCCTCGCCACTCTCTTTGCTGTCTTCGGTTGGTTCCGTGGCTATGGCAACCGTGTGAACATTGTCGGTGTCGTCCGTGTCTGGATCTTCTCCTTTGGTGTCTTCGCCATCATGGGTGGTCTCTACTACTTTATGCAGGGCTCCACGGGCTTCGACGATCTCATGCACGGCAAGTCGCCCAAGCGTAACCAGAAGCAGCGCTCTCTTGAAGATTTTGGTATGTTGCCCTTTTGTTCCGTCCTCCGCCTGCATTCACTAAGATCTCCCAGTCGTTTCCCTCCAGCGTGTTTCGACCCAGCATGAGAAGGCTCAGTAGATGGCGCTATACCCCCTCGTGCCTATGACCGGCTGTTTTCCTTCATAAATAAAGCAAAGTGGCTTTTGGGCTTGATTCACACCTGACGTTTAATTCAAAGCGTAAGTATAAAAAGATAGATAACTAGTTTCTTTTGGTTTTAGAAAATCAATTTAAATATAATTTCCACATGTTAACTAAAAAAGCTATCGCTTCTATGCTTCGATTAACGATGATTCTACATTTCTTCACTCTCCTTATTATTCTATTTCTGACAGTGCCTAACTAATAGTCCTGTTTGACACACTGCCTAACCTAGGCATCTAGCAGCCTAGAGCGTGTATATTGTCTTTGTGTGGAGGCCTTTGTTCCCGGTTCCTCAGAGATTAACACAGTCACGGTTGAGTCCCTAACTTCCAGCCACTAAGCAGTGTATACAAAGCTGTCTTACAGTTACTGCAGACATTGTGCACCTCTTCACTCTTCTCCGTATTCCGATTTCAACAGATAATATCTCGTTTTAGTTAGGGAAAAATGCCCTTTTCAATATGAAATTCGCATAGGCCGTTCGTCTCGAACTTAAACGGGGCCACTGGCACTTTACTCACCACGTCGCCGTATGCATTGAAAATTAAATTTGGCCCCCTAAATCTAAGCGGAATATTTCTATAAGAGATCTTCTCACGGTCAGGCGAGGTTTTTGTGTACGATCAAACGGTTGCAACAAAGGTCCAGGCGAGCGGGTATTCCAAGCCCTAGCCCATGCTGGCGCTACAGTGAATACCTGTAATAGCGGCACGCTCGCTGCTCTTCCTCCTTCAGTTGCATTTTTATTCACTGAGTTTACGGTGGGCGAGGATGCTACGGAGAGATAAGCTCCTTAGCCAGTCTGAGATCTGGGGATGCAAGCCATAATGTCGACATAGCACCAGCTTGCGAACTGTATTGTCACGGTCCAGAGGCACAGAATCATCCTTTATCGTATCTCTGAGAGCGGAAATTTTTCGTCGTCCGAACCGGATTCGTGGCAGCGTCCATACGGAGTTTCTTTGCCGCTGCGTTGTGGGCGTTTTTCTTTCTCGATGGCCTCAAAGACCTGCACGCATATCTTTGGGCTGTTCGAATGGCCGTGCTCTGGTGAGTGTTTACCGGGAGATTTGATAGGAGGTGTCAACCGCATGAGAAATAGCGCAAGGTTCAAAGTAAACGAACAGGATCTAGCACTGTCGGTATAATTTACTAGCTCAGGAGAAGCTATCATGTCAATAACGTGACCTTCAGCAAACAGAAGTATAAGTATGATGAGCTTGCGTATGTAACCACATCTTGTTATTTATCTCCACCTGTCACTATCCCAAAAGTGATCATGACCCTTTGCTGTTCCTATTTGTGTCAAAACGTGGCGTGTGCTGTACGTCTGGCGCATAAAATGCCTTCTTGGATAGATCGGCGGTCGTGTGTGCCGATCGCCTGCTTCTGTGAATGATGGAGTGGCGAATTCGCGTATGTCGAGCACCAAGTCTCTAGCACCGGTGACTTCCTCAATACTCCGTCCGTGACGTTCGTAAAGCGCGAAGAATGCGTCGACATGTTTTGTCTGCAGTCTTGCGGGGGGGCAAGCTTTACCCGCATGAACATCTGGTGGGCGACATATACCAGGTCTGATGTGCCCAGCAGCCTTGCCCTAGAGGTTAGACATCTCTCGGCAGGCGGTGAGCTTTGGGCCTTAGCAAGGCAAACAAGGCGCCCGGGTGAGTCGACGGTACGTTTGGCAACGGCAGCCTACTCACGGGAGCCCACTGGGATCCAGACATTCGAGGCGTGGACTGCGACCGGTCGGGATTCTACAGCCTCTCACTGGTCGCTCCCGCACTGAGACTGCCATGTATTCTGGAGTGGCTCATCAGGTCATCTCTTGTCGTAAAGTTCTTGCTGCAACCGCGAGACTGGTAAGCGTGAAGCTTCTGACTTGAACCTGTGCAGATATGCCCCGTCTGATGTTGTTGCCGTTGGAGGGTCATGCCGCAGTTGGGACACCTGGGAATGCCAGGCTGCGGCCTGCGCATCTCGTGGCTTATTTCCCCTTGACTTGCAGCTGACATGGCACTCGAGTCTCTACCAACGCCTGATAAACAAAGTAGAATAGGCTTTGGACGCGGCCGAAGATGAAGAATTGCCTTCTTGACAGGTAGTCTTGACAGGTAGTCTTGACAGGTAGTCTAGACCAGCTGAAACACTGTGTGAGACGATGTTGGTGATAGCGAATGGCCATGTAGGGGTTTAATGGCTATGGTAGTGAACAAGCCCGCATTGCACTCTGGGGAAAGTTTCTTCTTATTTCAACGTGATGCGTCTGGTATAATCAGACTGAGATAAAAGCTAGACATTTGCCAAGAGTGTTACCGTTTGCCTAGCGTGGCTGTAAACGACCTTGGCCATTGATATCGCGTAACTTCATTGGCCTCTCAAGTCTTTTGACCAAACATATATTCAAGCATACATTAAGCTTTGTGATTGTGTATGGAGAATGAGGATTCGGAGAAGAGTCTCCTTTCTATCAGTAGTCTGCGGTGACCCTTGCAGCTCCTAACTAGATGAAACAAGAGGATATTTTAAGCTTGTAGTTATTTAAGGTTTGCAAAATGAATTATATACTAGTGGGTCAACGCCACATTCACGGGACGCTGTTGGCTGGGTCAACAGTGTCGGAAGGACTGTGTCCATGATCCCCTATGCGATCCCAGACGACTCCCTGGGGTCTATGCAGGTTCTGTCCGCGCAGAAACATGTCACTCGACTTTGGATACGCTGCTACGTCGGGGATTTTCAGCCTTACCGCATGCTCAAGTACGTCTGGAACGGGGACGGCACGGGGGTTTATAGACTTTAGTCATTGTGAAAATTGGTCTGCACGTCGAGAGTCTGCTCACGGTCTATCACTCTACGAACAAGATGTTCTGGCAGATGAACAGTGTTTTCCAGAGATCCACCTGTCCTAGCGAGGAGCATTGTCGCATAGCCTTGCCTACTGCACTGCACAAATCTTTCAGGGTTGGTCGTATTGATCCAAGTCAAAACGACACGATCCCACACCTGAGAAAGGTGGTATCCACTCTTGCTTGGCATATTGCCATTCTCTCCCGTAATTTCATATTGGTACAATTCGCGTCGCTTCCGCAACATTGTCGCTGACGTCGAGCAATCAATGTGCTGCAGCCATGCTTCGGTCACCACTTTCTTTACCATGAGTTGTCATTTTGGCTCTTGGTAAACTCATGGTCTTAGGCCCTGATCAGCTACGGTTCCAACTTTTCCAGTCACGGTCTGGATTGTATAAAGAGCACGCTTGCCCGTTGTTAGTATGTATGACGCTCATAATTCCTGGACTTCAAGCTTGGCACGCTATCGAAGATAACCCGCTACACAAGGGGCCCTTGTCTTCCGCCTGGTGCCTGCCTCGATTAGGCTTCGGGATGCCCTCAATAGGTACTGCGCGGCTTTTTCAGTCACGCTTTTTCGTGCAAAAAAACCTGACACGCTCCAGAGCGTGTCAGGAATGGATTCGTGACTGGAACTAGAACCGTGACTGGCTTTTTTGGGTGTGTTTTGCCCCCTTTCGTGCTCGTCTTGAAGATGACGACCTTTGCCGGCCTCGACGAGCATTTCCTTCAAGATATCGTGGAAGCCACCTCTTCTGACGACGACAACGATCTCGCCGATGCCCTCAGCGCGATAGTTGTCGGTGACACCCTCTGCCGGCATTTTGGCGAGCAACACCAACGGATAAAAGCACGGCAGGCTCGTAACCCACACAACTGCCGAACTTATGTGAGGCTGCCCGACGATGGAGATAATCGTGGCCATCAGTACGAGCACCGCTCCAGTGTGGTGAAGGCGCGGCAGCAAATGTTATGGTTCTTAGCTGCGCCTGGCACTATGTTCAAAACGATGTTCGGTATGAGCAAGTCAGCGTTTGACAAGCTTTGTGTGTGGTTATGATGCACTAAAAGGCAGATCAAACAGGTGGAAAAGGGATGATCAATTCAAACGTCCTTGGGCAGCCAGTCGGTCAGCCCAAATGGGCATGGCGCGGCTGCTCTTCGGATCTTGTGTACTAGGTAGCTGAATAGGCGACATACGTCATACCGCCAAAATAGAGCGCGTTCTAGCCCTCTCGCATAGGGACCTCGCTGCGCTCCCAGAGCTATGCGAAATACTACTACGGGGTCCCATGAGGGAGATATTGTCGGCACCGAGGCGGCGGACGCAGGTGGACTGGTGGGGCACACCGATTATACACGAGTAGAAGAAGCAGTTACCGAAGCCGTTGAAGCGCACAACAGTGCCGTCGATGCCCTACTCGTTGGTTAGTAAGGCCCCATCTGACCAGCTGTCCTAGGGCGTTGCGCTACCTTCGTGCTTGTTGGAAGTCGACCGTCTGCGTGTCTGGAATTGACCTGGACTCGCTGACGAAGACAGGAGATCGCTGACTAGCGATTTTGTCGGCTCTTGCAGCAGCGCGACGGGCCAACATCATGAACTACGAGGTTTCCTCCGCGGATATCGCGGCGTAACACAAGCAGTTATGCAAGGGCCAATTCCATTTTTTTGGTTCCATAAGCGGCCGTATAAGATCAGGCATATCATCTATTTTCTGCACATAATGGGTGACACGCAAGGTGGTGCCTACGACGACAAGTAATGCGCACTAATCACAGCCGGCAAAGAGTGCAACCATTACGAGGTCATGGACGAGCTTGGCGGAGTATCACTTGACACAGCCATCGCCCCGGGCGTTCTCGACCCTGCTGTGATTGGTGCATAAGTTATTACTCCATGTGGGTTGCAGGCTTGCAGCCGGCATTTCGTGTCACTGGTGTGGCACGCGTCAACCCGCAGGGGGTTGGACACGAGCAATAATACACGAAAAACCCGCACACATAACACTTCTCTACACCACACAACACAATGCTTAGACATCCTAATACACCAAATAAGACCAAATCCCAAGGCTCTTTTAA